TATATTATAAATGAGGGCAGTTCAATTTGACAGCTTTTCTTGTCCATTATGATCCAATCATTCAATTATTGATCTTAGGTTATATTGCAATAACTCTATTGTACTACATGAATATGGGCCATATAACTTAATAACTCGCTTTAACACAACCCATATCCACCTTTTACTTTCTCTTTTTCTGTTTATCAATTTCTTCCCATATGTAAAATATGAGCAATTTTATCTTCTGACAATAATGTAAAAGCAGCAAATGTCATTAAAATGAACAGTTATCTCATTAATAACAAGCTGATAATTACAGTTTAGCCTCACTGTACTGGTCTTAGACTCCTGACAATAATAATCTTAGACTCCTGACAATAATAAACATATAGAGTGTATAAAGGTCTGAGAGAAGGGCAAGACTGTAAATTCAAAGACTTGAGTGGACTTTTATAAGCATGTGAAAGAGAAAAAAGGGAAGAAAAGACGGTGGGAGAGTGAAGAGTCAACCAAACTATTCTTGGCGGTTTATAAAAATGTAAGGCTTCGAACATTACACATCTCTTCTTGTTTCTCCGTCTGAACAAATCTGAAACCATTTTTTTGTTCGTCTTCTTCTTCCTCTCCTTCTTCAACATGCACTTAAGCAACAAACGTTCATGCGTTACGGATATAATTTAAAAGCGAAACAATTAAAAAAATTTGTCTATATAATCTGTTTATGAGTTTTTTAAAGTTTTATTAATGAATTTCAGTGGGTTTCTCCATCACGACGACGATAAATCCCCCGGCGGCGAAACCGTCGGTGGTGTCAACCATTTCTTTTCATCCCCCGCCGCTATGTCCGGTGGTCAATCTATATTCTCTTCTCCTCGTCTCTCTCTTGGCCTCGTACGTTGTTTAACTTCTTTCCCTTCCGATTATTTATATTTTTAGTCTTTTTTTTTGGTCGTGTGAAATGTTTTTTTTTTTGTTCTTGTCTCCGGCAGCAAACGAATGTAGAAAACAACGGAGGAGAAGTGGGCAGAACCGGCGAGAGTTACGAGGTGAGTGTTACTCGGAGAAGTCCAGAGAGTAGATCTGGAAGTGATAACGTCGAAGCACTTTCCGGTGAAGATGACTTAGACGCTTCTGATAGACCTTTAAAGAAGAAGAAACGTTACCACCGACATACTCCTCAGCAAATACAAGAACTCGAATCGTAATCAATAATAAAAACTATATCCCATTAAACCCTTTTAATTAATAAACTAACTCTAAATCGAAATTACAACTTTTGATTTTAATTTAGGGTTTTCAAAGAGTGTCCTCATCCCGATGAAAAGCAACGGTTAGATCTTAGCCGTCGACTTAACTTGGATTCTCGCCAAGTCAAGTTCTGGTTCCAAAACCGCCGTACACAAATGAAGGTTATTTTCTTGAATATTTTTTTTATAATTTTTTAGTAAAATTTTAAAATGTTATTTCCTTTATTTTCCGGTAGACGCAAATTGAGCGTCATGAAAACTCTCTATTAAGACAAGAGAATGATAAGCTTCGAGCTGAGAACATGTCTGTACGAGAAGCCATGAGGAATCCAATGTGCGGTCACTGCGGTGGCTCCGCTGTTCTTGGAGAGATCTCTCTTGAAGAGCATCAGTTAAGAGTTGAGAACTCACGTCTCAAAGACGAACTCGACCGTTTATGTGCCTTAGCCGGGAAATTTATCAACCGGTCCGATGACGCCGGTTCACATCAGTTACCAAACTCGATTCTTAAACTCGGTGTCGGTTCAAAAAATGTATACGAGGGTGGTGGTTTTACACTACTCCCTCCTGGATTCGAGATTTCATCATCTCCTTTTTTCTCCGGTTTAGATGCTCCGGTTAACCGTCCCGGTACGGATGTTGTCGATGAGAAGTCTTTGTATATGGAATTAGCTCTTTCAGCTATGGACGAGTTAGTGAAAATGGCGCAAACGAGTGAGCCACTTTGGATCCAAAGCTCGAAAGGCAAACGTGAAATGCTTAACCGGGAAGAGTATGACAAAAGTTTTAGACCTTGCCTCGGTCCTAAACCGGACGGGTTTGTCACGGAAGTTTCTAAAGAAGTAGGAATGGTTATCATTAATAGCTTAGCCCTCGTTGAAACTTTAATGGACTCGGTAATTAATTAATAGTAACACTTTTACAAACTAAGGATGTTACTTACTAAAAGTTTCTTACATTGATATCGTTTGATTTTGTAGGAACGTTGGGCAGAGATGTTTCCATGTATGATCGCAAAAACTTCCACTGTAGAAATAATCTCTAGTGGTATGGGAGGGACAAGGAACGGTGCTCTTCATATGGTTAGTACGTGTAATAAAATGCATACATTATATTTTTTTATTAGTATGGATCATATTATTTAACACAAAATTGGGTTATGTAGATGCAAGCAGAGCTTCAGTTGCTATCGCCGCTTGTGCCAGTTCGTCAAGTGACTTTCTTAAGATTCTGTAAACAACACGCAGAAGGTGTTTGGGCTGTCGTGGATGTCTCTGTCGATAGGATAAGCGATCGTGGCGGTTCAGCTTCAGCTCGGTCTTCTCTGAGCTGTAGAAGGCTACCATCTGGTTGCCTTGTCCATGACATGCCCAATGGCTACTCTAAGGTAACTTTAACTCCTTCCATTTACGTTTGATTTCTTCTCAACTTTCCCATTGTTTATATGTTTTGTAAGTCTAAAACATTAATATTCGCATTTACTTTATTGGATCTCTACAATCTATGTTACCTTGATCACATTAAATTTCATGTCATTTTCTTGGTAGATATCTTAAATTTATTCTCTCAAGATATCTTAATTTTTCAAGTACGAATTAGAAAAGTAACATTTTTCGATGTTATTTATAGAATTTTTTTTTTTTTTTTTTTTTTTTTATTTATAGAATTTTTATTTATAACGATCATGAAAGTTTATTCATCTTCTCGTCATAGGTAACATGGATTGACCACACCGAGTACGAGGAGACCAACATACACCATTTGTACCGTCCATTAGTCAGCTCGGGTCTAGCCTTCGGCTCCAAACGGTGGATATGCGCTTTGCAACGACAATGCGAAAGCCTCACTATCCTCATGTCAACAACAATCCCTAACCGCAACAAACCCACACGTAAGCTCCAATCACTTCCACCCAACAACGTTATTCAGTTTTACTTAAGCTTCCTTATGGAAACAAAAATGCAGCAGCTATAAGCTCTATAGGGAAGAAGAGTATGCTAAAGCTAGCACAAAGAATGACTGAGAATTTCTGTAGAGGCGTGTGCGCTTCTTCTTCACAGAAATGGAGTAAGCTTGAGATAGGTAACATCGACGAAGACGTGAGGATCATGACTAGGAAGAACGTTGATGACGCCGGTGAACCACCGGGGATTCTTTTAAGCGCCGCCACCTCCGTGTGGGTCCCGGTTACACCGAGACGTCTCTTTGATTTTCTGAGAGATGAGCTATTGAGATCTGAATGGGATATTTTATCAAACGGTGGACCAATGCAGGAGATTGCTAACATATTCAAGGGCCAAGATCACTCTAACTCCGTCTCTCTCTTACGTTCTACTGTAAGTACATGCATGTGTCTGAAAAGAGACTGTGTGGTCATACGTATCTTGTCGTGATTGATTGAAAAAGGACAAATCTAGAGTTTGGAAGCATGTTGTGTCAGAAAATTAAAAGTCAAAACCAATAAGACATTTGGGACCTTTACTGCATTATTATCGTCAGACTTTTACCTTTTTACCCTTAAATATTGCAGATATCGTTATTTCCATTTTTGCCCCTGTTTTTTTTCTTCTTAAAAAGTAGTTTTGTTGGGTGCAGGCAATGAATGCGAGTCAGAGTAGTATGTTGATACTGCAGGAGACAAGCATAGATGCCTCTGGTGCTATAGTTGTGTATGCACCTGTTGATATCCCTGCGATGCATGCTGTAATGAACGGTGGAGATTCTGCTTACGTGGCTCTACTTCCTTCCGGGTTTGCGATTCTACCGGATGGTCAAGGGACGGAGGAAACCGGTTCGCTTCTAACCGTGGCGTTTCAGATTTTGGTTAACTCTCTTCCCACGGCTAAGCTTAACGTGGAGTCAATCGAGACTGTTAGTAATCTGATATCATGCACCGTTCAGAAAATCAGAGCTGCTCTTCGTTGCGATAAGTAGCTGAAGTGAAGTTATATAACTGAGCCTTTTTGGAGTCAAGAACGAACCGGCGCGTGTGGTGTGGTCCGTTTTGATGGTTCGGGTATTGACTCAATGATTAGTATTGTTGTGTGTACATTTTGGTGATTAGGCTAATGAGTCTGATGAAGAACATAAAATGAAACAACTCTCCTTCTATTAAAAGATCTATTATATTAGTAGAATTATTTTTACTTGATTATTAGGCTTTATGATATTACCGGTTTTACTTTTACTTAATCTAGTATACTGCTATGTAGTATAAAACTGTAAGAAGCGTGTATTTTCAGTGGAGGTGAGTGGTGACCGTACAAGAGATCCTGGGAGTGACGTGATGAAAAAGAAACCTAACTGATAAATAAAAGCGATAGGTACATTTGCTATAAATATATACTTGATTTTAACTAGGAATATCTTATGAAACGCATGCAGCATTTAATGCTGTTTCTATTTGTCATCGTACACTTACTGTATGAATCTACAACTTCATGTGCATATCTTAACGTGAAATATTTGTTTTTCTATTTGTCATCGGATTTAAAACAATGATTTTTCCGGACAAGAGGTCAAAGAATGTTAACTGTTTCGAACTCGTAACGTTGAAAACACCCACTGATATGTTTACTAGTTTAACCATTCTTTGATATATGGGCTTTAAATAGATTATAAACGGGCCCTAAACTTCAGTTTACAGATATGATTAATACCTTGTAGGCCCATCACTTATATTAGCCCATTAGTACTGAGCCCAATCAATGATGATTTTAATATCTTTTAAGACAGGCGTTAATGGAACACGACATCTGTCTTTGTCACTATCTCATTCTCATGTACTAAAAAAAACTAAAACATTATCTAATTCAACTCAAACGACGACCCATTCAAACTCAACAATAATCATCACTCGCCAAAGATCCACCGTAAAAATGCCACTCTCCTCCTCCTCCTCCTCCTCTTCTCCGGCGACAGACGATGTAACCTCGCCGCTCCTGAATCGCACCCGCCGTCCTCCGCAACCGTTACGCGGCGCGGCGTCACGGCTGCTCCGGCGCGCGAGCAGTCACCGGATGATGCTGCGCGAGTCGTCGGTTCGAGTCCGCGAGACAGCGGCCGAGGAGATTGAGGAGAGGCAGAGCGAATGGGCTTACTCTAAACCGGTTATAGTCTTGGACGTGTTGTGGAACTTAGCGTTCGTGTTCGTCACCGTCGGAGTTGTGTGGTTTAGCTCGGAGGAAGATCCTCGTGTTCCTCTTAGGTTCTGGATCGTTGGATATAATCTGCAGTGTTTGATTCATGTTGTGTGTGTGGTTGCTGAGTATCGGCGTCGTGGTCGTGGATCGAACCGGGATTTGGATTCCGGTTTAGGCCGCTCCGATCAAGAATCTGGAAGTAGGTAAGTAAAGTTTCTTCCTTTATCCTCTCCTGAAAAGGAACTCTTCTTTCGTTGATGATTCATTGTTATCTCTTTATTTGTAGTGTTGCTAAGCACATTGAATCAACGAATGCGATCTTCTCGTTTGTGTGGTGGCTCATTGGGTTTTATTGGGTTACTGCTGATGCTGAGGAGCTAGCTCAAAGCTCACCTCAACTCTACTGGCTATGTGTGGCGTTTCTCGCCTTTGATGTTATATTTGTAGTCTTGTGCGTTGCGGTTGCTTGTCTTATTGGTATTGCTGTGTGTTGTTGTTTGCCTTGCATCATTGCGGTTTTGTACGCTTTGGCAGATAGGGTAAGTCACAAAAAAGAACTGTTTATTTTGTATGGTTATGGTTTTTTTTCTTTTTTCTGATGTGTTGTTTATGTTTCAGGAAGGGGCGTCTGATGAGGAGATTGAAAGGCTTCCGAGATTCAAGTTTTTAACAGTGAGAGATTTAGAGAAAGTGAATGGGGAGATAAGGGAAACTCATGGAGGGATAATGACTCAGCTTGGTGTTGATTCTCCTAGTGAACGTGTGTTATCAAGTGACGAAGCTGTAAGTTTACTAGTCACCACAATCCTAAATATACTTTTAGTTTTTTTCTTTCCCAAGCTGCTTTGGTAGAAAGTAAATGAATACTTTGTCTCTCGTTTCAGGAATGTTGCATTTGTTTGTGTGGATATGAAGATGGAACAGAGCTGAGGGAACTTTCGTGTAGACATCATTTCCATGAAGCTTGCATAGACAAATGGCTACGTATCAACGCTACTTGTCCTCTCTGCAAATTCAATATCCTCAAAACCGGTGAACAAAGTGGCAATGATGCAGTTTGAATCAAAGTTTCTCCATTCAGATTCATTTAAAAGGGCTTTAATGTTGCGGTGGCAGCCTGAGGCAACAGCCTACTTTGTTGTGTAAATGCAGAAAGTAAATAGTTGAGATTATTGTTTTACATGTTGAGATTAATGTTAAATATAAAATTTGAGGGTTTGCCGTGTGTGTTTGGAACAAGCTAATTAGCTAAAGAGAGAAGAAGTTGTCTTCGTTTTAAGCTAATACATGTAGCTTTTTCCTAGTAGTATATAAAAAACAAATTTCAAACATTGGTTTCAAGTCTTTTTCTTCTTCTTCTTCTTTGTTCTGATAGCAGTTGGGACACCATAACACACAAGGGAAGCCCCTGTCAAGAACTTCTGAGTGCAGGCATTACGTGCATCAGCTATGAGCAAACCAATTCTCTCTGGTTTAACATCATCACTCCTCTCTCTCCAGCAACTTTCTAACATTGCCTTCACAAACTTGGTAATATCACTTGATATCTCCCACAAGGTTGCCACAATGACAGGGGAACCGGCTAGCAGGAAACATAACCAAGGCCTTTTTGGTACATATCTGCCTCCTCTATATGACAAACCGCTGCTGCATCCCATAAGAAAAGCTGCAGAACATTTGTTGCCCATATTTGCTACTTTCTCCATGGGAATATGTTGCTCTCCTGCACCACCAAAAAAAAATTTGCATGGCTGGAATCAGTAATTTGAACTTTTTTTCTTGTAGGTATGTAGGGGAAAGGACCACCATACCAGCACCATGCCCAACATATAGTAAAAGATCATGATTTTCCAACGCATCCTTTAGCTCCTTATCGACTAGCTTTGGTCCAGCTCCAGCTTTTCCCTGTATAAAGCAAATAAAATCAGTAACAACAAAGGCCAAGGCAGAAGAGTTATATCAGTTTGTTTTAAAAGATGTGTGTTACCTCGATTCCCTCAGTCTCGAACAATCCTTCAAGCGCGGTTTGCAGTTCTTGGCATTTACCATCCAGATTTAATAGATAATAAGAATTTCTAGGATCAATCACAGGGAAGGGAGAAGGATCTTCTCGGTAACAGCTTTTCTTAAGCACTGCTGATATGCTACCCACAGAAGGCATGCGGTATACTTCTCGTTTCCTCAATATTGGAATATTCTCCCATGGAAGCATCTATTATTATACAGAATAACGACACATAAGTGTTACAACATGTAATCACTGAGCAAGATTATAATACTCTCCTTTAATCTTTAAATTCAGTGAGCAAGATTATATCTTTCATATGTTGTATGTAACAAGCAAACTCTATTCTTTCAATGCACATTCAGAAAAAGTGAAAAAAAAAAAAGAGAGAAGAAGATGAGATTTACCACCAACCTGAATCTCACGATCCACCACAAGAATGATCGGTTCTCTTTCTTCGTTACAATGCTCTAGCTTCATTCCTGATTCCTGTATCAGTTTTAAGGCTGTCTGGTACCTACTTTGAAGGTCATTATAAGATACACTGGTTCCATTTATTTCTTCATCAATATAGTCACTTGGACGACCTCCTACGTAGCAACCATTCTTTGAACAAAGCTGAGATATCCACATCCATGAATCGACGTCTGTGTCACATCCAAGGAAAACCTTTAGAAGTGTCTCATTTACTTCCATCTTACATTTGGACCTGAGCTCCTTAACCAGCTTCTTTTGCCTTGTCTCATGCAATTTACTGTTTGAATATTCTCCCAAAAGCAGATGCTTCCAGGGACCCAACCACAACTCTTCAAGGTTTCTGATATAATAATAATACAACAAGCTTCTTTTTAAAAATAGAAATATGATAGTCCTGAATTATGCAAATATAAGTAAGTGTGTTCACTATATGCATCACCTCAGCATGGAATGTGTACCTTGGCAATTTAGCAAGTAGAAGTTCAAGTTCCTCACTCGTCAGCCTGGTCTTCTTAGGATCCTTACAACCAATAATGTAGTTCTCCAATATTAATCTATACGATGGGGCGACAACATCCACTACTGTGGAACCCCATGAAAAATCCCATCGTTCATCCATCTTTTCAATCCCACCTGCTTTGGTGGTATTGGTAAGATTATTATTGCTCTCTAGTAACAATGACAGAAAGGAAACCCCCCTTAGCAACCAATGGATAGTAGAAATTACCTTCTTCAAGTGGAGAATAAATTGGCACAAGTAGAGCTAAAGGCTGCTGACTCTTTGAGCTCAACCGTGACAAGAGCAGCCACCCACAAACATGGGGGCCTTTCATTAACTCCTGCAACAATTTACACAGTGTGCCTCCAAGCACGCTAATGCAGATGGCTGTCGTTTCTGGTAGACCATTAAAAAAGTTTTTAGCAAACTTAACAAGACCTTCGGTGCTTTTGGGAGCAAGCCTGCAGTGTCAGGTAAAAGACAATGGACTCAGCAAGCAAAAAAAAAAACAAATAAATCAAACTTTAATCCATTTTTTTCTAGCTTTAAGACCTGAGAAAGTCGAATTCTTCAGAAGCCTGTAGATCAGAATGTTTTCGGTCAGTGCAACTTATCATTTATTAAGCAAAACTAACAAGGGATATACATATTAAGGTACCATAAAACAGATTGTAGGAAGTTAGTTTTGTTTACCAACCTCTTTATCTAAGTTGATATATTTTGACAAGAAGTGGTAGTTGGTGTTAGCACCAAGAGAGGCTTGATGATAATATGTAACCCAATGACTCAAAGAAAGTTCTCCGTCACAGGGAAATGAGAAATTAGACCGTACAGAAGAGACCAAGTATAACACAGCAAGCAACCTGGAAATCTGTTGTAAACCAGCCAGTCTCTTTTTAATATATGCTAAATCACTATCACAACATAAACAAAAAGAAAAGAAAAAGCTTTACCTTACGACATAGTATTGGAACATCTCTGCTGAGTACGAAAGCCAATGTTAACCATGAAACCAGCTGTTGAAATGAAATATGTGATAAATCACATAAAACAGACCTATAAAATATAGTGATCAGTGATGTCTGGTGGAATTTTCAAATTGACATTTTATTAAAATTTTTATTAACCAATATGACGAACCTGGAGTGGTGAGTTTGAAGACTCAACTTGCACAAGTTGTATAATATTCTTGCACGATCAAGACCAAATACATCTCCTTTTATTTCCTTCCCAATAAAATCCAGCAATGGTGAGCTGAGGATAGATACGGCACTGTTATATAAAGCAGCGATACTATGCAAAATTGCCCCATGTGCTTGATGAACCTTTCCAGATTTAGCCAAAAATTTTCCTGAAATAAAAATCGCTTTAGCTCTTAGAACAACCCATATTCTAGTCAATCAGTACTGTACATGTAATCAGAAATGGCCCAAAAACTAAAGTAACCAGAAGCAAAACAAAATATACATTTTAACAGTGTATGAACCAAAGTTTAGGCTGAAATTTTAATTTCCAAGGACATGCATTTTAAAAAGTATAAAAATAGAATATTATAAGGGATTAAGGCATACCAAGGCTGACAAGAACCGTGCACGCAAGCCTCCTTTGGTAAACTTGCAATTTCAAACTTATAAAGTTACTCAGCAATCCAGATCTTGTAACTTCGTTGGAGTGCTGACATATTCTATTGATGCAAACGCAGATTGTGTTTTTAGTGTCCTGCATCAACCCCTTTGCATCACAGATATCAGACTCATCAATGAATCTACACTTCTCAGCAGGAAAGTTTTGAGGTTGTTCATGTGATCGACTCATTGAGCGAGTCAACCTTAAACTAGGCTGCCTTTCTATAGCGCAAGCATGTACAGATATAGGACCTCCTCCACGCCTCCTTTTCGAAGAGTCTCTTGGTTTCTCTACCTCAGCTGTTTGATTAATGCATCCTTTCCAGGCTAAACAACATATTTTTTGTAACGTTCCACTATACAGATTCTCATCTATCTGGCAAACTCTCGTCGTGTTATCAAATTGTCTTCGAGACAAGTCTCCAAATTGCTTATCCAACGTAACTTCTAACATCAGCCTGCAGTTTCTGCAAGTAAAATCTCTTTGACTATCTGTTAGCAGCTTTTTCGCCTCATGGAGTTCATTTTCTGCTAGATCCCAACACTGCATTTTATTGTAGAGATTCCCTAGTGGACAGAAAAAACAAATAAGTGGTTTTCATGGCCTAAGGAAAATAGACAAATGCAGAAAAAATAAATGAACTTCATACCCAAAGCAAGAGAAAATGCAACGACAAAAGGTTGTAGGCTCTGCATACATGAAAAGGCTTTTCCCCAAGATAGCAACGTTCCAGCATTTTCTCTATCCCCCATAAGCTCATAAATAACACCTAACTGCATTTTAAAAATAGATTAACAATGCAGAAATAGTGACAAAGCACCTGCCAAGAAAGTTCGTTGAAAAGAAAAAACAAGACCTGAAGAACACTTTCCAAAAAACATCGGAGCAAAATCCAAGGGCTTAAGTAGCAGCGGCTATTATCCCAGAGAAAAGTTCCACATGGCCATGAATCGGTAGCGCTTAGACTTGAAACTTCAAATTTATCAACGATGTAAGTAGTTAGTTCTACTGTTTTCCCTGCGCTGGTATGGTCTTTAGTACATCGTGTCACATTAAATCTACAAAATTTTTGTAGAAATTTTTTTCGAATCCGGTTTGCTTCCATAGCATAAGAGAGAGCCTATAAGAAAAAGGAAGATAATTAATAATCTTGATATTAAAAACAAACTTTCATAAAGTATCAAGAAAAAAACACATCTAGTTGCTATTTACAAGTAAGACTCATGGTTAAAAAAAAAACATCTTACCTCGCGTAAATTACCACATGACAATTCTTTTTCACAGAGATCATAATATAGAGATGCAGCAACAAAAGACGACAAACAAGGATCCTGGGAGACAAAATCATCACATTTTAACCAAACAGTATACTTTAGAAGAAAATAGTAGATACATCTATTTTCTTACACTTGACACTAGTTTGGAAGCTATGTGGTTAATCTCATCTATTTTGATGTCTGATTCATGTATTCTCAGTCCGAGCCCAACTGATTTTGCTTTTGAAAACTCCAAGCAACTTTTCCAGAAATCTGTTGAGTCTGAGTTTTCACCAAAGTGGCATGATAATCCCGTGATGATAGCATCATTTATTGGAGAAAGACATAACGCATGACTTAGCCGTCTACAATCCCACAATATTGCCAAAGAGACATCCAATCTGACATTTCTCCATTTGAAGATTTTAAACATCAAGTCATATATGCATTGATGGAGCTCTATCCAACCCTAAAATTGGAGTGAAATAAAAGTATTAAAGGCTATAAAAATTGTAAAACAATGAGAATGGTATCCAAGAGCACAAATTCTAATATGGTAAAATTACAAAGTTTACCTTTATTGAGACCAAATCAATTACATTGAACAGTAGAGGAATCACATTTTCCAGAGGAATAATGTCACTAGACTGAATCCATACCCATAGTTTCAAAGAGGTGTTAATGTCTTCGCAAACTTGCTGCACACAAGAGTAAGATAATAAGTAAAGAAAATAGCACACAAATATAGAAATTAGAGACCAAACATAAATAAACAAACAAAATTGACATAACTCAATGATGTTACCTTGGACTCTGGTTCAGTTTCTTGGACGCATAACGCTCTTAATAAATATACAATAATTAGTTGGAAACAACACAAAGCCTCATGGCTCTCATTAAATATGGGTTCCTGTGTCAATGACAAAGAAATCATTCACAAAAAGAATTGAGCAATAGATAAGCTGTTAAACATCAAATTCGTAAATAAATACCAAGGTAGATATTGCTTTTGATAAATGATCAACACACTCTTTTAAATGTTCAGCTCCAGTAGTTAGCATCCTTGCTTTCCACATTAAAACTTTTGCTCTCTCCAACAATAGATCTTTTGTGATGAAAACTTCTTTCAAAAGGATATCAGCAATTTCTAACTGGTTTGCTCGACATAATCTTGAGCATTCAGGAACAGACTCCTCATAAGCAAGAATCTCCTATAGATGTTATGTAAGAATATAAGTTCAAGTAATTATTTGTAAATGACAACAGATATATATAACAAGTAAACTAGAATGCATGGTAACATGTCACTTATTGCTTTGGAAATCTATTGCATCAAGTAAGGAATTGATAGGACCCCAACCTGCTCCAAGATATTTCCAGTCACTATTTTCGAAATCTTCTGAGAAGATGACAGGAAGGAGTAAAACAGTCTACATGAGTCAGCCAGATCAGGACTCTTATGACGCCTGTGTTGTATCTGATGATAAATTGGAATTAGAAGCGTGAATTAAAAAAAAAAGCAAGTGGAAAAAGCAGAAGCATAAAGTTACCTTAACCCACTGTTGTATTATTGGTGTAAGATCGGGTAAACTTGTGATGAGTTTTTTAGCTTCAAACCAGTTCTCTAGAATAAAGGAAAGAAGCTTCTCAATTTCGCATTCCCCATGTTTCTCGAGAACATCCAGATAGTATGCAGATTTGCTACATGCCTCGGTCACAAAATCCTCAGAAGAGTTAGACTCAACATTTACCAATTTGAGAGAGAGGAGTCTAACACAATTCCACACTGTTCTAATACATAATTCTAACGCCATGGAAACCTGCAAAGTACAACCCATCAATATTGTGAAAATATACTTTGGTGCAAAAACCTTGAAATATATATATATTTTTTTATGGCTCTGGTATATATGCAACCTTTTTAAAATGCTTTATATTGGATAAAGCTACACCAGTTTCATGAAATGAAGAAAATAGTTGTTTGAGCTCGGGAGGTGAAATCCACGGACTAGCAATTACATCCTCAACTAGGCAGGAAGTGATCTAAAACATGGAAAACCTTGAGACAATTAGAGTTTGCCAAAAAAAAAAAGAAGAAAAATCCACTGAATTGGTGAGAAAGAGCAATATTTAAACCTTCAGTGTTGAGATGCAGAAGTCATGCAGTGAATCCTCATCCAAAAAACGCTGCGGCTCTCTAAGGATCGAGAGTGCACACTCTCCCATAGCTGAGACGAGCGTTGTGAGCATTTTATTACTATCAGCATTTCCAATAGGATCTCTTTCAGTAAGAAGATTACTATTCTTGTGTTCTGGCCACATCAGAGTGTCAAACCACTTAAATGAATCGCTTTCAGACCAGTCAGGTACTTGAGCATGAAACTCTGAACCAACTAGACCACATGATTCATCATCTTTCCCAGCTTTCCTCTCATTAAACTGACTACTGAATCTCTCTCTTAGATTGTTACTAGGCCCAGCACTATCCTGCTGATACAGAGATGGATGCATCTTCTGGATTTTCTGAAACACACACAAACACGCAAGCAAATGATTTAATTAAGACTTGGAATTGGCATAAACAGTGGTGAAAATCCTAAGCTGATACTATATCAAAATGCTCTCTAAGGCCCACATCATCATAATAATGAATTTTAAATAACTAAACCCACCTGCCAAATCCTTTGACAAGCCGAACCAGAGTTGGTTCTTGAAGCTCTAAACAGAAGAAGAAGCTGTTTCCATGGCTCTTCTTCACTAGCATAAAAAGAATCCCACATTGATCTATCCGGCAAAGAACCAAAAGATATGTCACACGGATCCTTAGCAGCCTCGCGTAACCATCTCAAAGTCTCTAAAGTGCACTCCCGTTTCCTCTTACCAAGAGAAGAGCGATCCTTGTTGTTACCGGACTCAACTTTCTTCAATAAAAACCATTTGAACTCTGCTCCTACTTTCCTCAACTCATAATTATTGCTCTTCACTTGAGATACAAAGTGTCTAAGCCTACCCATGCTAGTCCTACCCATGCTAGTAGTATCTCTGTTCAACAATCGAGCAAGTGTGGCAAGATATTTGACATAGATCAATTTCGAGTCAAGAAGCCCTAACTGAGACTCGTGACCGACTTCAGCCCATTCAGCATTCTCAGAAACCGATTTAAACCCGCCTCTATTACTCACGTTGATGAAAAGTATGAAATATTCCATGAATCTCCCGTCGCTAGTTTATCAGAGGGAGAGGGAGAGGCAGGACAAAACTAGGTTTTTTTTTTGTGATACGCACCTGCGCCGTGCCTAGTAAGGCAAATATGAAAAATTTGCTTATGTCAAAATTTTTTTAGGAAAATCTATAGGACATAATTAGACATAAATCATTGTACATGGGCTATTTATCTGAAAATAAAACTTCTTGGATAAGCCTTTTTACTTGAACCTACCTATATCAGTTGATCATTTTATGACTAAAATTAATTTTCTAAGTCAACTAATTACAATTATATTCACATGTCGGAAAAAAATGATTTTTTCCTGCTTCGTATGACAGTTCTGTAATTTTAGACACGTTTATTTTCCTTTCTACCACATTTTATTTCTTTTTATCTATTTCTACTTCTTTTTATTTATTCATTAAAGCTTACTTCACAATCTATACTATTATTTGCGAAGTGATTTTTTGCAACGGATCTCTCACGTTAAAATTTAGACTGGTTAATATCGTTTATACCCTTAATGAATAAATATATAAATCAACCAATAATAAAAAACGAATTTAATATTTATTTGATTAGATAAATGATTTAAATTACTAACAATGATAAGAATTATCTATAATCTAAATATATATTTAAAAAAATAAAAAATAATTCCTATCGATATTGTGTTGTTATCCAAAAAAATATATTTAGTCAAAAAATTCAAAAACAGAAAACACATAAATAAATATTTATAAAGTAAAATTTTTAATTGTATATAATTGAAAATAGAAAATTAAAAAAATTCTAACACGTAATTATTTTCAAATTAAAAAAAAAAATATAATAATAGAATATAATGATATATATTTATGAAGTTATTTTCGCCTCTGGACTCACAAGTTAAATTGTTTTTTAAAATTTTTTTTATATAATTAAACCTTAAACATGAACTAATCATAATAAAATAAAAGATCATTCAAAAAGAAAGAAAATACGTATTTGACAAAAAGAAATTTTAAATATATTGTATTATTATCCAAACTAATATTATTCTTTCTGTAAGATCAATTTGGATCTCTCACGTTAAAATTTAGACTGGTTAATATCGTTTATACCCTTAATGAATAAATATATAAATCAACCAATAATAAAAAACGAATTTAATATTTATTTGATTAGATAAATGATTTAAATTACTAACAATGATAAGAATTATCTATAATCTAAATATATATTTAAAAAAATAAAAAATAATTCCTATAGATATTGTGTTGTTATCCAAAAAAATATATTTAGTCAAAAAATTCAAAAACAGAAAACACATAAATAAATATTTATAAAGTAAAATTTTTAATTGTATATAATTGAAAATAGAAAATTAAAAAAAATCTAACACGTAATTATTTTCAAATTAAAAAAAAATATAATAATAGAATATAATGATATATATTTATGAAGTTATTTTCGCCTCTGGACTCACAAGTTAAATTGTTTTTTAAATTTTTTTTTATATAATTAAACCTTAAACATGAACTAATCATAATAAAATAAAAGATCATTCAAAAAGAAAGAAAATACGTATTTGACAAAAAGAAATTTTAAATATATTGTATTATTATCCAAACTAATATTATTCTTTCTGTAAGATCAATTTTTGAATGTATATTTCTTGATTTAATATTTTAGGTTAAATTTTTTGGATGCAAATAATCATTTCTTTAGATGATTTTTTAAATTGATTTAAAGATAATTAAGCCCGCATGTGCGGGCAAAACACCTAGTTATATATAAAACTGTTTAAATTAAAAGCTATATTTTGTATGTGCCGTTTTATTTTTACACGTAAAACATAAATAATAAACATTCATTTTAATATATTTTTGAGGAAACATGCATTTAATATTTTACATAAAAAAATTAGGAAAATATAATTATAATTTTTATTTGGCATAGGGCATCAAAATGTCTTGGCACGGCTCTGTGGCGTCATAAAAGTGACTTTTTATTATAACAAAAAAGTAAAATCGACTTCAGAAGTAAAATAGACCCTTTTATTAGTACTATTTCACATTTTCATAATACGAAGTGTTCATGATTAATCAAACGTGTTTTCACCCTGAATACCAGTTTTGGAATAAAAAGGGCAAGAAATATGAAGGAAAATCTGTCTAGACAGACGTGCAAAAAAAAAAACCAAAAAGAACAAAAAATCAAGACGACCCTTGATGATACGTACACCAAACAGGAACCCCGGTTACTACACGACCACCATAACTAGCCGTCACAGCCACTGATGAAGATATATTTGGTCTCCATATTTGACCATTCGCCGCAGCTTGAGAACTACACGCTGCATAATCCCTCGTAGCCACCATCGAAGGTGACGAAAATCCAACATCGTTACCGTCCGGTTTCACCATTATCGACACGTTAACAATCCCACTTTTGTCACCATACACGTCTCTCAACCTGTAGCTCAAGAAATTCAAATGCCCTTGAGGAGCAAATCCTCCCATGAAATCTGTCACCGGAATCTTGGCAACCCCAACATTCTTCTCGGCACCAGAACTTGTACGATATAACACCTCGATGGAGATAAACCTAACGCTACCATTTATAGGCATGTCCATCTCGATTTTATCTTTCCAAGTGGGATAACTCCCACCTGTTTCATCAAGTTTACAAACCCGAGTCTTCTGATCTATCCTGACGACGCAGAATGTCTTTCTCTTCACCGGTTTACGATCTATCTTGAGTCCTTCCCCTGAGATTAACTCAATCTCTAATGAACGTTTCATTGTTGAATACGACATGACGTTTTGATGTTATGTGTATAAGTCCAATCCTGTGTTAGAGGAGGTTATCGTTTTATTTCGTGTAGTGTAGGAGAATACGAATGCTGAGTTTATATAGTATGGCACATTTAATGACGAACGGGCACGGTTTCTTCGAGGGGGTTTCCGCTCTCTTGCGATTTGTTTTTTTAATATTGTTTCTTGGAAGATTTCATATTGTTTTTATATTCAAGATCCGAACGTTAAACAACTTGAGAAGACAGCATTATAGTTTGCTTTTTTGATGGGTATATATTCGTACTGTAAAATATATTTCCCGCAAAAGAATCTAGATATATTTTAGGGATAAAATATTATTAATAATATATTCCATTCTCTGTATTGAGTTTAATTAAATCAATTGGGATGAAAAATTACTGTAGATACGTTGTAAAATATAGATGGAGATACTGATGTTGCTTATCGCATTGTTGGGTCGACCATGCTTGGACGGTGGCCTGATCAACGGTGGCGTGTTGCATGAATTACATGTGTTAGTTTTCTATATTGCTTCCATAACAACTTTTTATTTTCCTTCAAGCTAAGTATGAACTATTAATGGTATTTTCAAATATTACGTTTGATATACGTTTTCAAATAAAATAGGCGTGTCTACACTTTAAAGACCTAATCAACATTTGTTTGGTGGACAAAAAAAAAAGCAAAAAAAAATAAAATTTGCTTGTTGTTTATTTATTCTTTTGGCTTTTTGGACATTTTCATAAATGTATAATGTATTTAGTTATGTTTACAAGTGTATATCTAGACATATTGTGTTTTAACAGAAATTTACAAACTTAAACCTGCTTGGAAGAAAATAATGAAAGTAAGCAATCATGTTAATTTTGGAAGTGTCTAAATTAATGCACCAGTAAAAAAAAATAGCATTCGCTGAGTCATTATAGGTGCAAGAAAGATAAACTTACCATTGAAATTAATTAGCATAAAAACAATTTGAGTTTGAGGTGAATATTAATACAAGTCTAAACGTTTGTAAATGTATTTATTTACATAGTCAATATATAAATTTTAAGAAAATATTTGTTTCAATTTTTTTTTTCAATTTTTTTGGTTTTTTTCAAGTTCAAATTGATTTGCTTTTATTCATAACATTTGCGATAATAAAAGAAAAATACTCTGGATCAAATTTAATGAAACATGAATCCGTGTTAGGTTTCCAAATTTTTTTAAAAAAGTTATACGGACAAATGTTTCTAAAAAATTGTTTTGGACCACAATTTTTTTAAAAAAAATCCGTTCAAAAAATCTTTTATAAATTGTCTAGAATCTCTTAAATCTCAAGATTGGTTCAGACTATGATTAAACATTTATGAAAAAAAAAGTATGAAAAAGTCTTTGGGGATAGATGATACGGCACCTGCCGTGCATTGGGAGATTAGCAATTGACTCCTATACAAGAAATTTCGAGAGTGCGAAACGAAATTACATGTAACTGTTGTTCATTACATCTAGACGTCGGTAGCATGCAACCAAACATTTTTACCAAATTATGCGTGCGACTATGGAGTAAAAACGTGGAGTATAATCATCTGGCAGGAAACTCAAAATCTAATTGTAGATACAATCTCCACTTCTTTACTCCGTTTTAAGCTAATATATATGTGCTTCGGTAATATAATGAATTAGAATTACTTAAAAGCGTGTTTAAACCCTCTCGCAACACGAAAAGCTGTAATGGCTGTTGGATCTAGAGGAAGAACAACTTTACCGTCCGAGAACACTACAGAGCCGCTTTCACACGTCTGCATGCGTATGTATAAATTGTGATCATTTTGATAACTAATACAAATTGTTATTATAATCATAGTTACGTGCTTCATCCATATTCAACTAGCTGATACCGGTAATAGCTGGGGAAGGTATAGAAACAGGTTTTTGACATGTACTGGCCAACAACACACACATACAAAATTTACTGCATGCAATGCACCTTCGGGAAAACTGCATGCATGCTTATGTATTTGGTGACGACGCATGTAAGCACAGTGACGTATACATCTAACATAACTCTGGAATAGCAGCATTTATACGTCCCAGCTTTAAGAGTTTAAAACGACCACTACGCGACCGACCACCATTTTTAATGTATTTTGCCAGATGGTCATATATGTATATTATTGTATGACCTAGTATGACCGTTGGCTTTGCCTTGAAGTGATAAATAGTCATAATTACAGATTGCTTCTGGAAATTTATCAGGGTTTTGCCTCGTTATTTCATGGCACATGGATTAGGCACACATACCAATTACACTGTACTTTCTTCTACAATTTTCTCATGTTGACTTGATAGACATAATAGTCCTTTCTAAACCATTTTGGTCGATTGCAGGAAAAGGTCGAATTAAAGTCTAAACCATGGCACTATTGTTTCTCACCAACTGAATGAACAATAACTTTTTAACATAAAACTATGTAAGATCTGTTGTCGCATTGCATACAAACAAGAAGTCGCTATCGCAAGATCATGCGTTGAGAATCTGATAATACAAATCTGAACTCTATGTAAACATTAGTTTTAATATATATGTTGATTGTTTCTTTTTTTGGTTGCTAGTCGTGTTAGGCATAGCTTATCTGATGACGAGGCCGACTTAGCACTATCACCACAAATCAACGTTCACTAAATATTGAAGACACAATAAGAAAAAAATTGAAAACAATACAATTGAGAAAGTGTCTCACTATCTTTTTGTCTTTTAAGCCTAATGACTGACTGTAGCAGCTGAGTTTTAATTGTATCCCCTTAATTAAGCCAAAAAACTAATCCTTAAATTTTGAACCAACTCAGTAAATAATTTAATAGATAATGATTTCTGCTACTCCCTCTGTTTCACTATAAGTGTCATTTTAGGTTCATACACATGGATTAAGAAACTATTAATTTTACATATTTTTTCATATAAAAAACAATTATCTATACAGCTAACCATATATCAATCAATAGAAAAATAGACTGCAGAATAAAATTAATAAATTTTGCATTAAAAATTAAAAATAACACTTATTTTATAACGAAAAAAATTCTCTAAAATATGAAACGGAGAGAGTATTTAGTAAAAACAATATAATTATTGATATAATCAGTTGTTGNTCTCAAAGTCTCTAAAGTGCACTCCCGTTTCCTCTTACCAAGAGAAGAGCGATCCTTGTTGTTACCGGACTCAACTTTCTTCAATAAAAACCATTTGAACTCTGCTCCTACTTTCCTCAACTCATAATTGCTCTTCACTTGAGATACAAAATGTCTAAGCCTACCAATCAGATCATACGAGATTCCAGGCGACCCCACAATAGTAGTATCTCTGTTCAACCATCGAGCAAGTGTGGCAAGATACTTGACATAGATCAATTTCGAGTCACTAAGCCCTAACTGAGACTCGTGACCGACTTCAGCCCATTCAGCATTCTCAGAAACAGCTTTAAACCCGCCTCTATTACTCACGTTGATGAAAAGTATGAAATATTCCATGAATCTCCCGTCGCTAGTTTATCAGAGGGAGAGGCAGAGGCAGAGGACAAAACTAGGGTTTTTTTTTGTGATACGCACCTGCGCCGTGCCTAGTAAGGCAAATATGAAACATTCGCTTATGTCAAAATTTTTTTAGGAAAATCTATAGGACATAATTAGACATAAATCATTGTACATGGGCTATTTATCTGAAAATAAAACTTCTTGGATAAGCCTTTTTACTTGAACCTACCTATATCAGTTGATCATTTTATGACTAAAATTAATTTTCTAAGTCAACTAATTACAATTATATTCACATGTCGGAAAAAATGATTTTTTCCTGCTTCGTATGAGAGTTCTGTAATTTTAGACACGGTTATTTTCCTTTCTACCACATTTTATTTCTTTTTATCTATTTCTACTTCTTTTTATTTATTCATTAAAGCTTACTTCACAATTATATATAAAACTATTTAAATTAAAAACTATATTTTGTATGTGCCGTTTTATTTTTACACGTAAAACATATATAAATGATAAACATTCATTTTAATATATTTTTGAGCAAACATGCATTTAATATTTTACATAAAAAAATTAGGAAAATATAATTATAATTTTTATTTGGCATAGGGCATCAAAATGTCTTGGCACGGCTCTGCGGCGTCATAAAAGTGACTTTTTATTATAACAAAAAAGTAAAATCGACTTCAGAAGTAAAATAGACCCTTTTATTAGTACTATTTCACATTTTCATAATACGAAGTGTTCATGATTAATCAAACGTGTTTTTCACCCTGAATACCAGTTTTGGAATAAAAAGGGCAAGAAATATGAAGGAAAATCTGTCTAGACAGACGTGCAAAAACAAAAACCAAAAAAGAAAAAAAAAATCAAGCAGACCCTTGATGATACGTACACCAAACAGGAACCCCGGTTACTACACGACCACCATAACTAGCCGTCACAGCCACTGATGAAGATATATTTGGTCTCCATATTTGACCATTCGCCGCAGCTTGAGAGCTACACGCTGCATAATCCCTCGTAGCCACCATCGAAGGTGACGAAAATCTAACATCGTTACCGTCCGGTTTCACCATTATCGACACGTTAACAATCCCACTTTTGTCACCGTACTCGTCTCTCAACCTGTAGCTCAAGAAATTCAAATGCCCTTGAGGAGCAAATCCTCCCATGAAATCTGTCACCGGAATCTTGGCAACCCCAACATTCTTCTCGGCACCAGAACTTGTACGATATAACACCTCGATGGAGATAAACCTAACGCTACCATTTATAGGCATGTCCATCTCGATTTTATCTTTCCAAGTGGGATAACTCCCACCTGTTTCATCGAGTTTACAAACCCGAGTCTTCTGATCTATCCTGACGACGCAGAATGTCTTTCTCTTCACCGGTTTACGATCTATCTTGAGTCCTTCCCCTGAGATTAACTCAATCTCTAGTGAACGTTTCATTGTTGAATACGACATGACGTTTTGATGTTATTTGTATAAGTCCAATCCTGTGTAGACTAGAGGAGGTTCCTTATGGTTTTGTTTTGTGAAGTGTAGGAGAATATGAAAGCTGAGTTTATATAGTATGGCAAATTTAATGACGAACGGGCATGGTTTCTTCGAGGGGGTTTCCGCTCTCTTGCGATTTGTTTTTAATCTTGTTTCTTGGAAGATTTCAAATTGTTTTTATATTCAAGATCCGAACGTTAAGCAACTTGAGAAGACAGCATTATGTTGCTTTTTTGATGGGTATATATTCTCATTATAAAATATATTTTTCCGCAAAAGAATCGAAATATATTTGAGGCATAAAATATTATTAATAATATATTCCATTCTCTGTATTGAGTTTAATTAAATCAATTGGGATGAAAAATTACTGTAGATACGTTGTAAAATATAGATTGGAGATACTGATGTTGCTTATCGCATTGTTGGGTCGACCATGCTTGGACGGTGGCCTGATCAACGGTGGCGTGCTGCATGAATTACATGTGTTAGTTTTCTATATTGCTTCCATAACAACTTTTTTATTTTCCTTCAAGTATGAACTATTAATGGTATTTTCAAATATTACGTTTGATATACGTTTTCAAATAAAATAGGCGTGTCTACACTTTAAAGACCTAATCAAAATTTTCTTGGTTGACAAAAAAAAAACAAAATTTGCTTGTTGTTTATTCTTTTGTTTTTTTGGACATTTTAACCAAGTGGTCTTGGCCTAGTGATAAAAGGGTTTCAGTTGGAGTTTACAAGTGTATATCTAGACATATTGTGTTTTAACAGAAATTTACAAACTTAAACCTGCTTGGAAGAAAATAATGAAACTAAGCATTGGGTCGAATTCATTGTTTAAACTATGAAAAAGTCTTTGGAGATAGTTGATACGGCACCTGCCGTGCATTGAGAGATTAGCAATTGACTTCTATACAAGAAATTTCGAGAGTGCGAACGAAATTACATGTAACTGTTGTTCATTACATCTAGACGTCGGTAGCATGCGTTTTTTTGGTTGTATGCATGCAACCAAACATTTCTAACAAGTTATGCGTGGGACTATGGAGTAAAACCTGGAGTATAATTATCTGGCAGGAAACTCAAAATCTAACTGTAGATACAAATATACAATCTCCACTTCTTTACTCCGTTTTAAGCTAATATATATGTGCTTCGGTAATATATTGAATTAAAATTACTTAAAAGCGGGTTTAATTAAACCCTCTCGCAACACGAAAAGCTGTAATGGCTGTTGGATCTAGAGGAAGAACAACTTTACCGTCCGAGAACACTACAGAGCCGCTTTCACACGTCTGCATGCGTATGTATAAATTGTGATCATTTTGATAACTAATACAAATTGTTATTATAATCACAGTTACGTACGTGCTTCATCCATATTCAACTAGCCGATATCGGTAATATATAGCTGGGGAAGGTATAGAAACAGGTTTTTGACATGTACTGGCCAACAGCACACATACAAAATTTACTGCATGCAATGCACCTTCGGGAAAACTGCATGCATGCTTATGTATTTGGTGACGATGCATGTAAGCACAGTGACGTATACATCTAACATAACTCTGGAATAGCAGCATATATACGTCCCAGCTTTAAGAGTTTAAAACGACCACTACGCGACCGACCACCATTTTTAATGTATTTTGCCAGATGGTCATATATGTATATTATTGTATGACCTAGTATGACCGTTGGCTTTGCCTTGAAGTGATAAATAGTCATAATTACAGATTGCTTCTGGAAATTTATCAGGGTTTTGCCTCGTTATTTCATGGCACATGGATTAGGCACACATACCAATTACACTGTACTTTCTTCTACAATTTTCTCATGTTGACTTGATAGACATAATAGTCCTTTCTAAACCATTTTGGTCGATTGCAGGAAAAGGTCGAATTAAAGTCTAAACCATGGCACTATTGTTTCTCACCAACTGAATGAACAATAACTTTTTAACATAAAACTATGTAAGATCTGTTGTCGCATTGCATACAAACAAGAAGTCGCTATCGCAAGATCATGCGTTGAGAATCTGATAATACAAATCTGAACTCTATGTAAACATTAGTTTTAATATATATGTTGATTGTTTCTTTTTTTGGTTGCTAGTCGTGTTAGGCATAGCTCATCTGATGACGAGGCCGACTTAGCACTATCACCACAAATCAACGTTCACTAAATATTGAAGACACAATAAGAAAAAAATTGAAAACAATACAATTGAGAAAGTGTCTCACTATCTTTTTGTCTTTTAAGCCTAATGACTCACTGTAGCAGCTGAGTTTTAATTGTATCCCCTTAATTAAGCCAAAAAACTAATCCTTAAATTTTGAACCAACTCAGTAAATAATTTAATAGATAATGATTTCTGCTACTCCCTCTGTTTCACTATAAGTGTCATTTTAGGTTCATACACATGGATTAAGAAACTATTAATTTTACATATTTTTCATATAAAAAACAATTATCTATACAGCTAACCATATATCAATCAATAGAAAAATAGACTGCAGAATAAAATTAATAAATTTTGCATTAAAAATTAAAAATAACACTTATTTTATAACGAAAAAAATTCTCTAAAATATGAAACGGAGAGAGTATTTAGTAAAAACAATATAATTATTGATATAATCAGTTGTTGNTTTTTCATATAAAAAACAATTATCTATACAGCTAACCATATATCAATCAATAGAAAAATAGACTGCAGAATAAAATTAATAAATTTTGCATTAAAAATTAAAAATAACACTTATTTTATAACGAAAAAAATTCTCTAAAATATGAAACGGAGAGAGTATTTAGTAAAAACAATATAATTATTGATATAATCAGTTGTTGTACTTTGTGCTTATAGGAAATTTAATAACCCGAAAAGCAAGCAACATCTTTTAACTTGATATTACGATCAAATTTGTGATCTCTATGGACTACAATTCACATGCTTAAAAATTTCATCATTGGTAATGATCGGTAGTGGGTTTTCTTCTTGTTTTTTCGTTTGTGGAATTTTAGTACCACTATCAATTCATCTTATCTAATAACGTGGAAAGATAATGTGATTTGATTTTTGTTGGGAAATTATATGCATGTTTGATTCACATAGTTGTCGTACGTAGTACTATCAGATACATATTGAAGTACTCATTCAAAGAGTTTTATCTTGTTTTGAATCACACTAAAGAGAATTGACAAGCAATAGAAAGTCTTGTCTCATTTTCAAGTGTCACTTAATAAATTATAATTTGAGAAATTCCTGGAAATTGGTAAATCCAATAAATAAATAAAAAAATAGCCACATTATTTTCGTCCAGAATAATTCAAAGACCACTAAATTAAATATGAATAGACAATCATTTTTAATTAACTAAGAGAAATTGGACTTTTAGATTTTAAATTATTCATAAATCCTGAACCAGCATTTGTTAATACTAGACAAATGACTTTTACACCATGTTTCGAACTAGAAATACAACATCCATCGCCTGCACTAAAAGGTATACCACTAGTTATCCAATTTTGTTTCAGGGATATAATTTGATATATATCATCATCATCATCATTTCAAATTCAACTGATGTAACTATGATTTTTACATCAGTAATTCCATTTCACATCATTTATATTAAAAAGCCTATAGTATGGTGGTTCCGTCTTGGTCTTCCACCCTCCCCAAGAAAATGAATGAGTTATGTAATGGGCTCTAATAATATATATCTGGGCCTCTATACCAATAACATATTGGGCCACAATTATAATAACTAAAAACGCAGCGTATTGGGAAAGCATTATCCTCCGGTTCACTGCTTTCTCTTCTTCTTCTACGAGGCGCCATGGCATCTTCTTCTACTCACCTCTCGTTTCTAGCCGGACGTACATCACCGTCTTTCTCCTCCGAACGGGTCGTATTATCCCCTTACAGAGTAGAGTTCCGTCAGCCAAAGCCTCGGTTCCGCTGCTCAGCCGGCCAGAGCGGGTTCTTCACGCGGCTTGGGCGTTTGATCAAGGAGAAAGCCAAAAGCGACGTTGAAAAGGTTTTCTCAGGATTCTCTAAGACAAGAGAGAATCTAGCAGTCATCGACGAGCTCCTCCTCTTCTGGAATCTCGCTGAAACAGACCGAGTTCTCGATGAACTTGAAGAGGTTTCTTTAACCACGGCACCATCTCTATAGGTTCTCTCTTTTTACTGAAGATTGAATTTTTCAAATGCAGGCTTTGTTGGTTTCTGATTTTGGACCGAAGATTACGGTTAGGATTGTTGAGAGGTTAAGGGATGATATAATGTCAGGGAAGCTCAAATCAGGAACCGAGATCAAGGTTTTTAATCTATACTATATGTTATACACTGTGACTATATTGTTATACATGTTAAATGAGCTACAGTAGTTGATTACACATGTTATATCTAATAGAAACTATATGTTATACATTGTGACTATATGTTATACATGAGCTAGTTGATTACAAAAACATGTAATATGTTATACATTGTAACACATGTTCATGTAAAGGATAGTGTTGATTACAAAAAAAAGTGTGAAATGATGTAGGATGCGTTGAAGGGAAGTGTGTTGGAGATGCTGGCTAAGAAAAACAGCAAGACTGAGCTTCAACTTGGTTTCAGGTTCGTGAATACAGTTTCATCATCTCTGTTAAAGTGGAAGAATGTGGTTTAAGTTTGTTTATGTGGTGTGCTGTATTTAGGAAACCAGCTGTTATAATGATCGTTGGAGTGAATGGAGGTGGAAAGACTACGTCTCTTGGTAAGGCGAATACACTTTAGTTAGTGTAGATTTGTTTGGCTTTGCATTGGGGATAGCAAGAGAGAGAGAGAGAGAGATGTTATGATGTGACTTTTGTTTCTCCAGGAAAGTTGGCTCATAGATTGAAGAATGAAGGGGTTAAGGTACAGCTTTCGATGTTGAAGTAGACCTTTTTGAAATTTAGTATCAGTATGTTCAACAGCAATGCTGCGATGAATTGTCGTAGGTATTGATGGCAGCAGGGGATACATTTAGAGCAGCTGCAAGTGACCAGTTAGAGATATGGGCGGAGAGGACTGGGTGTGAGATTGTTGTGGCTGAAGGAGAGAAAGCTAAAGCAGCTACAGGTAAAAAACAAAAAAAATGCGCAGCTGTTTGGGTTGCTAGTGACTGTGTCAAGGGCACACACAATGAATGTTTGCTTACTAGTATAAATCATTTTTTTTATGACTAGTTCTCTCAAAGGCTGTGAAAAGAGGGAAGGAGGAAGGTTACGATGTTGTACTGTGTGATACATCTGGACGTGAGTATACAAGAGTTTATTAGTTGACTTTTTTAAAACATACTGATGCAATGTCTTACTGATCTGAAACATATTTAATTCTCTTTATGTTAAGGTCTCCATACTAATTACGGTTTGATGGAGGAGTTGATTGCGTGTAAAAAAGCAGTAGGCAAGGTTGTATCTGGTGCACCTAATGTGAGTGAGCTTATCTACTTATCTCAGTGTATTGCATTGCTTATATTTTATCTCCATTTTTCATCCTAAAAGTTAGCTAAAATTATTTATTTTCCCTTTGGCATTGTCAGGAGATCTTACTTGTACTCGATGGAAATACCGGTCTGAACATGCTTCCACAAGCTAGGGAATTCAACGAGGTACCATATGGAACCATCTATAAACTCTTAGCAAAGTCTTGAAGTTTCTTGCTCACTCTTTTTTCTTGTCAGATTGTTGGTATTACAGGTTTGATATTGACGAAACTTGATGGGTCTGCTAGAGGAGGATGTGTGGTAAACAAAATCCCCCATACATTTCGATATCCAATCTTAATTTTTCATGGATGGTAAACTGGTTCTCTGCATCTCTTGCAGGTCAGTGTGGTAGAGGAATTGGGCATTCCTGTAAAGTTTATAGGTGTAGGAGAAGCTGTAGAAGATCTTCAACCATTTGATGCTGAGGCCTTTGTTAACGCTATATTCTCCTGAGACATAGAATTCCTGTTTTTTTTTCCCAACAAGTATCCATCTTCGAAGCAAGGCAAGAGAGACAACAAATGTACTTCGCCTGAGATGAAAATGGAGCCATTACTTCAAGTTTTGTGATTGTTTTAACGATGTGACAGAACATTTGCACATGAATGTAATGAGCCTGAGCAAATTGCTCGTATCTATGTATCTTATTAATGTTTGAATTAATATAAGCTTAGAGATTAATTAGTGTTAAATAAAAGTCATATAGTAAAGTTGATATTTGTGCGTAGCGATTATTTAAATCGACCAATCACAAAACTATAGGACAAAAAGTGAGAGGACCATCCTTTGTTACAGATTAGATCGGTCCAAATTTATATTATCTTCTTGCGCCATTATCAATCTTCCAATTTGAAAACTCTTCATCCTTCTTCCACCACATTCAATGGCGGCCAAGAAGCCAGGAGTGATCGCTTTGTTCGACGTGGACGGTACTCTCACAGCTCCAAGGAAGGAAGCTACTCCACAACTGCTCGATTTTATCAAAGAATTGCGCAAGGTATGTACATTGTAGCATATCTCTGAGCTGTGTTTTTGCCTGGTTAGTGTTTGATGAAATGTCTGTAAGAGTTTTAGGTTGTCACTGTTGGAGTCGTCGGTGGATCTGATCTAAGCAAGATATCTGAGCAGCTTGGCAAAACAGGTAACTAATGTTGATCAGATCGAAAAAAGAACTGCACTTTGTTCCTAGAAATTCGATTTGGTATATAAAGAAATGATCTTTTTCCGACATTGATGAGAATGGTCTTCTTGGTGTTCTGTTCTCTGTTATATATATGCGGATCCTTTTAGAAGCTGAGACTATAGAAACTTTCTCTGCTTCAACTCGTTGACTAGATCCTTTTAAGCTCTGTATATTGGAATAGCTGCTGATCATTTGTGTGTGTTCAAGTTCTGGAATGTGTTTGATTTCTCCAAGTCTTTGTCTTTATCTTGTTTTCTTTATAGGGAATCTAAGATCTGTGCTCTACCTTCTTGCTTTGTGAGTCTCCATTTGTTTGGCTAATACTTTTGAGTTTGTATCTTTTGCAGTCACTACAGACTACGATTATTGTTTCTCTGAGAATGGTCTTGTTGCCCATAAAGATGGGAAACCCATTGGAATCCAGGTTCATATGACACTATGATTTTTTACTTGCTCACATTTTTGCTTGATTATTTCTTTTATTCCTCAATAGTTTGTTATCTTTTTTTTTTAATCAGAGCCTGAAGCTGTACCTTGGAGAAGATAAACTCAAGGTAACGTACATTTAGTAGATATAGCAGGAGTTACTTTATTGTTTCTTTGGTGGTTAAATTGATGGTGAGGCTTATGCAAGTACACGTGTTTAAATAGTTCATGATAGCGTACGTTTGATGATGCAGGAGTTAATCAATTTCACGCTGCATTACATTGCAGACTTGGATATTCCAATCAAAAGGTAGATATGAAGATCAAACTCTAGCCCCTAGTCATGTTTTAATTGTTTTAGTGGGTTTTCAAGTTATCGAAGATTTTTCTTCGTGAATTATGTATACACAGGGGAACATTTATAGAGTTCCGAAATGGAATGCTCAATGTGTCACCGATTGGTCGCAACTGCAGCCAAGAAGAAAGAGATGAATTCGAGAGATATGATAAGGTAAAAAGAAACTAGTTACTTATGTTTCTTACATACATCAATCACGAGCATTATTTATTGATATCATTCAACATTTTTTGTTTTAAAAGGTTCAAAACATACGACCAAAGATGGTGGCTGAACTTCGTGAGCGGTTTGCGCATCTTAACCTTACTTTCTCTATTGGAGGACAGATCAGCTTCGATGTGAGTAGGAATCAAAAATGTGGATTATAACAATTTCTTATTATCTAACTTTTTGTTGTTGCTAAGTCTAGTTCCATTGTTATGACTCAGGTCTTCCCTAAAGGCTGGGACAAGACTTACTGCTTACAATACCTTGAAGACTTTAATGAAATCCATTTCTTCGGTGACAAAACCTATGAGGTAACTCAACTTGACTTTATAAAAATTAGTATCGTGTAATTCTTGCATGATTTTCCGTTGAGCTTGATGTATACACGGCTTTAACTTCTGTAGGGTGGAAACGATTATGAAATCTATGAATCACCAAAAACAATTGGTCATTCAGGTCAGTTTATTGTACATATCATCGGTTAATCTCTGTCTGTTTGTGTTGATAACCAGTTCATTATAAATAGGATTGTTTCTTTTGCGTTGCAGTTACGAGTCCAGATGACACAATGGCAAAATGCAAGGCTCTGTTCATGTCTTGAAACACTATCCATCTCAACACTGATTATTCTTGGCAAGTTGCTTACAACTTTTGATTATTTACATCACAAGAAACAGAGAGAAGTATATTTGGCAATACTTATACCATATGTTCTAAATTTTGCATCATAAATATAATCTTTGTTTCAGAAGAACTAGTTCTCATAGCTAAGATCAAAGAAAGTATCCTCTTTCAGTTACAAAAAGAAATGAATGATAAGGTTTTGCTTACAAGAGATTCACTCCAAATAAGCTTTTAGCTTTACAAAAATTTACAAAAAGAAGTAGCAACGGATTGTACATATATATATATATATGCATTATTAAGCAGAAAAAACATATAAAACTTCAAACTTTGAGAACTGATAAAGATAGTTACTCAACCACAGGCTCAGGCTCCTCTCCTGCAGCTTCAGGGGCTGCTTCTTCTCCTCCTCCTCCTCCTCCTCCTCCTCCTCCTTCTCCCTCGGGAACTGAGGCGCTATCTTCAGGTTTATGATCTTCAGAAGGCGGAGAAGGGGCACCAGAAGAAGCAGATCGACGATGCTTAGCAGCAGCTTGATCAATATTATTGTAACTTCCTTTCTCGAGAAAGAGCTGGTTGAAATGGACTTTACAGTAGAGGACACCGTTAAGAGAAGCGTAGGAAGAGTGAGTCAAATGACAACCACTGTGTGCACACCTGAAACAATTCTTGTGGTAACATTCTCCTTCCATGTTTATTTTCTCAAGTGGATAAACGGTTTTGTTACAAGTCGCACACTTGTCTTGTGTTCCACTGAAGAATGAAGATAACTTGCTTGGAGCTCGATTCTTGCAACATTCAATGGAGAAAGATAAGAAACATGGTAATAATTATTATTTTAAAAAAAAAAATGATTATTACCATATGCTCATTAGACTTCTCAGTTTTTCCTGTCTGAAAATTCTTGCTGAAATTGCCAGATTCTTTGAAAAGCTGTTCGAAGTGAGTCTTGCAGTAAAGAACTCCATCCATGGACGAGTAATTACTCATCTGTTGAAGAATAGAACCAATCTTTATTCATAACCATTGTAGAAACATATTTATAGTGACAATAAGAAGAACTAACTAACCTGGAGAGTGCCATTGCAATGACTGCAACGGAAACATGATTTGTGATAAGTGTTCCCCTCTAAAGTCAACAAATCCATGACGTAAACGGTTTTGTCACAAGCCTTACATTTATCCAACGTTCCTGTAAACGCTGCCATTTTCTATATCGGTTTCTAGTCTCCAAGACACGACTCAACGAGAATACAAAAAAACAAAGGCAAAGGACTAGTTTTTGTTTCTTTCTTTTCATCTAAGAGTTGTTATGTCTTATTTATCAAAGTTTCTCGAGTGATAACTTTGGTTCCAATGGTAGAGATACGAAAGAGGAGAAACCATTGTTTACTTTTTTTTTTTTACGATCATAATCTTCTTTCTTTTTTTAGTTTCCGAAAGCAAATGAAGGGTTTCTATTTCTTAACGTTTTCAGGCCAGAGCTCTATTTTTGTAATTAGTGGTGAATAATATGGTAAAAAAAATGATTGGTTTGGTTTGCAATGCACATAGACCAGATTACAACTTATGGTTTGACATTGTTTATATGTTTTTGAGGAGGTAAATTATATTTTGTATCTGAACCTTTTAACAGAAACTAGTTTGCTTTGCTTTGCTTTGAAGACTTCTTCTGCTGCATGATGTGAATCTTTTTTTTTTGAAAAAGAGCTTTTTTACATTATGTGAATCTTTTAAGGTTCTTGGACTTGATGACTTGGAGAAAGTTTTTATTACTTTGTCTTGCCCGTTGCTAGTTTTATTTAAGTCTGATAATATTATACATGACAGCGTAATCATGTACGCTTCATATGATTACAGAAAATTCTCCATAAAATCTTTCACCTTGTTTTTTTTTACACACAATCACCAATATATAAACAAGACAGCAAACAAACAAAATACCAACTATTAAAAAAAGTAACCGAACCACACAACAAAAAAAAGAGAGAGGAATTATCACAAACAATGACATGAGAAACAGATTTAATAAAAGACTTTAGAAACATCCACAAGTTGCCTTGGGAACGATACCAGTGGCTCTATACTTAGCAGCAGTTTCTTCAGCTTTGAGAAGCTCTTCACCCTTTTTAGCTTCAACCATTGCTCTCTTCTCTTCTGCTTGCTTGTGAATAGCCGCCACTTTGTTCTTCATTTTCTCACCATACTCTGCCTTTTTCTTCTCTAGTTTCTCTTCAATCTTCCTGAGTTGAGCTTCAGTGGCTGCTTTCTTGCTGTTCTCCCAAGCAAGCACATCAGATATCTTCTTTTGCGCCCTGTACATTCTCATCATTAGCTGATTATTATCTACTAAAATATTTGGGGATAATTTAAGGAAAGTTTACTTGTTCTCAGCCTTTGACTTCTCACTCTCTTCCCATGCTTTGATGTATGATGTTTTCTTCTCCTTTTCCAAGTCTGCCAGTTTCACATCTGATCAAAACAAACACATCACATTTTTAGTGTCAGTTAACCAGAAAGAAGTCAACATAAAGAGAACAAAAAATGTTTATAAAGCTCACCTCTATCGACCGAACCTTTCTTTGGTGTGGACTCCTCAATGGGTTCTGCAAGAAGCTCATCTTATTATAACACATTGTTAACGTAACCACTCTTAAACCTTAACAAACAGCCCTTCCAAATAATCGAACAAAACACTAGAGTTCAAGAAACTTTAATTACAAAAGGAATTAAAGATTTGACCATTGGGCCACTGAACTTTTGCCAAGATAGTAGATACTTCAAGAAAGCACTAGTGGGATTGGATTTTAAATTGTTAAGAAAGTTGATACTTAATTGTTATTTTCCAAGATTTAGGCATCTTTAAAGTAACTAATCATGCATGGAAGAATAAAGAAAGTAAACCACTTTCTTAATTGATAGCTGTCCACAATTAATCCCATATACTTTTGATAACACTAAAAGTTAAAAAAAAAAACTAATCATATTCTAATTAATAATGATTTATCTCCCTTTCAAAATCTTAATGATCTTGGTGTAAATAATGCTATGTAAGTTCTGATAGCAATATGGATTTCATGATATGTAATTTTGTACTAGTTTTTTTTTTTTGAATTAGCATGAGGTTATGGACCTAACTAAACCAGTGATTCTTTTGTTTTTGTAACTAAAACCAGAAAAAAAAAACATCATGTAATACTAGTTTGTGAAATATTAGAGTAAATCTATCCCTTTTAATTATCAAAAACATGAATCAATCTTCATAAGTAGACGATTGTCACATATATTATATCATAAACACACAAAGCACGTGTATAAAACATAGAAGCTTACTTTCAACAACGGTAAGAGCTTTGGACTCGTCGGCAAGAGGTGGAGTATGAACTTTCTCCTCCGCCACGTCTTTAGAAGCTTCCACCGGATCAGGAGTATGTTCCTTCGCCGGAGCTAAAACCGCTGGAGATTCCACGTCAACTTTAGGCGTCTTTTGCTCCTCCGCCATTGCCTCTCAGCCGAAGAAGAAACAAGAAGCTAAAGAAAACAAATGGTTTCTTTTCTTCTCCTTCACAAAACAGAAAAAATAAAAACTATTTTTGGATAAAATCTCTGAGACTTTTAGCCAATAAGAAAGAAGAGATTTTATATCCTCCGTTAGCTTATACCGGTGGAGCGTACTCCCCGCGTTTAATATGTGGGAGACAGTTGTTTTACTTAGCCGTTGATCTTCGTACCATGTGATCTTACGGCTGTAAAGCTCTCTTACGCATTGGATGCGTTCCATGTGATTTTAAACACTTCACTGCCGACAGGTAAAGTCGTTCAACGATGGCCCACGTAACTCGGTAGAATAATGTCACTGTTTTTGCTCATAGAAACCAAATAAAACACACTTAACCGATCTAATCTTTGATTTATCTTATTACTAATAACTTTTTATTAAAAACTGGAAAAAAAATTAAACCTGAACTTTGTAGTGAACTCCTTGATATACTCAAATACAAAGATAGAATGTAATCAATGTATGTATATTATTATCAATATTTTTTTGGTTTAATGAAAAATAATTGGTGGACCAAAAGGTGACATGGAGACAGATACAAAGGGATATGTATTTGGACCCCACGGCTCATTTTGGCACACGTCGCGTGTACTGAACGTTCTGGTTAAGTAGCGAGTGCGATAGAATGCTGTTAAACCGGTTTAGCCATGTGATGTATGGGCCCTTATTTATGACTTTCCTCGTTTTAGTTTAGACTTTCTGGCTGAGATGAGCTGCAGACGTCCCGTTTTATCCTTATTGGGCTTTTATGAATTTTACCAGCCCAGTTACATAAAGGTTGTAAGTCTATTTTAGTAAATACAGCATAGAATAAGATTAACATCATTTAGCTATGTGAGGGTACTCAACACAGATTTGAAGGGTTACGATGCATACAAGTCTATAAAATACTAAAATAGTATAGAGGCTACAACATGGAGTTATCTAAACATTGTTAGTCTGTGATGTCACTGTCTTTATTGAGTGGCTAACGTTTTATTTCCATTCTGGGAGAGTTTGGATTCGCATTCTATTAAAAAAAACATTTATAATACTCTTTCTCAAAGAGGGTTATTAACTTATTGAATCAGTAAGCGTTCATTTTATTTCTAGTGACACACATTTAAGTTTTTCATATAAACTCAACGATTACAAGAAAGGATTATTTTGGGAAACAAATTGATATCACAAATCATTATCTTCATCTGATAGGTTCACATTAACAATTTCTCCTACTAATATAATATCATGTCTTTAATATTCAGAAAACATAAAACCATTCGTAAACCTAAAAAATTATGAACATAAATAACATAAAAGATGTGAACTCAGGTTAGTAGGGTTGAATAAAACGTGAAACAAGATTCAAATCCTCGTGGAAAATCAAAACTAAAGCTTTGGCGCTTCCTCATCGATTCGGTACGTAACGTTTAATCTGCAGCCATGTTCTCGTTTCTTTCTCTTGTGTTGATTGTCTTTGCGCAGATATATGTATTTAAGCGTCATGGCTCAACGGAAAAGTATTACGAGGAACAACAACGATACTCAAACGAACACGCATAGTAATGATCACGCCTCAATCAAAACGTCGTCGCATCCAGGAAAACGCATCGTAAAAGCTACTCTGCTCTTTGTACTCTCAATCTTCATATCTGCTGGTCTCTTAAGCTTCTTGGGTTGTTTCGATTTCGTGAGTTTCGAATCTAAAAACCACCTTTTATATTTTTAGAGAGTGTTTCGGCGTGGCATTATATATAATCAAGATCTCTTCGTGTCCTCTTTCAGACAACTCTTGCAGGTCTGAAGCAAGTAACAACAATAATCACTAAACCACCAATCAAAACGCACCATAAATTCCCTCATCAATGCGACGTCGTACAGAACCAAACACAACCAGTAGTGTCCGAAGATGGCACAAAAAACAACAAACTCAGAAGCAGCCATCCACGACCAGCCACGTGTCCTTCTTATTTCCGTTGGATCCACGAGGATCTACGGCCTTGGAAAGAGACGGGAGTAACGAGAGGGACACTTGAGAAAGCAAGGAGGAAGGCCCACTTCAGGGTTATAATCCTAGACGGGAAGGTGTACGTTAAGAAGTACAGAAGAGCGATCGAGACACGAGATACTTTTACTCTGTGGGGCATCGTACAGTTACTACAGTGGTACCCAGGGAGATTACCAGATCTAGAGCTCTTGTTTGACGCGGATGATAGACCAACCGTCCGATCTAGAGACTATAGAGGTCAACAACACCCGGCCCCACCTCCAGTGTTTCGTTATTGCTCTAATGACGCCAGCTTGGACATCGTGTTCCCTGATTGGTCCTTCTGGGGCTGGTAAATTCATAACTCTATTTAGTTGGGCTTTTATTACTTAATGGGTTTGATTTTTGTTGGGCCAGGGCTGAGCTTAATATAAAGCCTTGGGCTAAATCGCTGGTGGCGATAGAAGAAGGGAACAAGATGACGCGATGGGAAGACCGTGTGGCGTACGCTTACTGGAGAGGAAACCCTAAAGTGGCTCGGACAAGGAGAGAGCTTCTTAGATGCAATGTCTCAGACAAAGAAGATTGGAACACTCGTGTCTACATTAATGTCTGGTCTATTCGAAATCTAACTTCCCTTAAAAACATTTTTAAATCTATATTAAATAATAGTTTTATTTTTAATAATTTTGAAGGATTGGGCTATAGAGTCCAAAGAAGGATTCAAGAACTCAAACCTAGAGAACCAGTGCACTCACAGGTTAAACTTAATTTTTTTTAGCTCCATATAATATTTTGAATATATATATCTCATATAATGTTTTGAATAGGTACAAGATTTATGTAGAAGGATGGGCATGGTCAGTGAGTGAGAAGTATATAATGGCATGCGACTCAATGACATTATATTTGAGACCAACGTACTATGATTTTTTTATACGAGGGATGATGCCATTACAACATTATTGGCCAATCAGAGACCGTGGTAAGTGTAGATCACTCAAATACGCCGTACATTGGGGAAATACTCATCTGGACCAGGTTTGTAGTTTTATTAGAACCCATAAGTTTTTTGTTTTGTAACAAGTTAACCCATTGATTTTTTGGGTTTAATTGACAGGCACGTAAGATAGGGGAAGAAGGGAGTAGATATATAAGGGAGGAGGTGAACATGGACTATGTGTATGATTACATGTTCCATTTGATGAACGAGTATGCCAAGCTTTTGAAGTTTAAGCCGGAGATTCCTTTGGGAGCAAAGGAGATTACAACGGATAGTATGGGATGTCCGGCGAAGGGACGGTGGAGAGATTTCATGGCCGAGTCTATGGTGATGTCTCCTAGTGAAGTGTCTCCTTGTGAGATGCCTCTTCCTTATAGCCCTCTGGAGTTAAGAGAGGTTCTTGAGAGAAAAGCTAATTTGACTCGCCAAGTTGAGGTTTGGGAAGATCAATACTTTCGTAATTTGACAAATGGCAACAAGCATTGACCAACGAGGCTCTTGTTTTACAAGTCAATTTTTGTTGTTGTGTTCATATTAAAATTAGCAAAAGTAACTAGTAATTTTACGTACCAATATATTATTTCTGTCAAAATGAAAATCAGTAATTAATGAGTTTTACCACGATATAAAGATTGGACCACAAGATTTTTCGTGTATGTCAACTTGGAAAAAGTTATATACAAAATGATTTGAAGTTTAATGTGTACAATTAAAAAAAAAAATATTAAGCACCATATTTTAGTTTGAAGGGTTACATCAATTTATGTCATGTGATCCTGAATTCAGTAAAGCTCTTAAAATAGCAATTGTATAAACATAAATTGATGAAACCTTCCAAGTTATTTATATGTTTGGTAAATGGTAAGTAAGTTAAATCGAAAGAGTAATTTCTGGATGAGACATTTAACACACTGAAGTTGATGATAAATTGCTATTTGTGTTATTAATTGATTATGAATTGATAAGCTACTAGTAGTTAATTATTACTCTCTTCATACGTTCGTTTCTCCGGTGTACGCTTCCTCTATAGTGATAACTTGCATGCATATTAAAATCTATCCAAGTCAAGTACGCACAATCGTAGCTTCTCAACGGTAAAATCGATTACTTATACGAAAAAACTTGTGTCATAAATAATGATGTGAACGAGATATATTTATTAGGGTTTCGGAAGTCAAATTATTACTTAGTTATCTCCCCTTCATAATATAAAATTAATCAGGCTAAATTACTTTCACGGATCATTGAGAGTTAAATTAGGAGGTTGCTTGGGTCCTCTATAAACCCTTTCTTAGTTAATATCTTCATTTATAAAATTTTCCAAAAACATGCGTCTACGTCCAACACGCAGTTCTTAGATACAGATTAATCAAATATTAGACATTAGCACGTAATCCTCTTTTCTTTCTGATATTTCACAATTAAAAGAGATCACATTACTTCTCAGTGGCGGGTCTAGGAATAGTTTTCGCCCTAGGCAAAATTTTAAAACGCTAGTAATATAATCACAAATTCAAATTTTCATCAGGAGCATTACTAAAAAATATATACAAAATTAGTAAAAAAAAAAAATCATGGGGGACAGCTGCCCCACCTACTCTTCACCTAGTTCTACTTCTCATAACAACAAGTGAGGTCTTAGTTTCTATATATCTCTCCCTTACTCTTTTTAGCTTTTGCTTTCTTATCTTGGAAGAAGTAAATATAAAATATCTATGAGTCCTCAACATAAAAACTCAATATCGAGTATAAGTTCTAAACTAACCAAGTCATGGATCACCACAACTATCTTCAGCTTCGTCTTCTTCATCCTTCTCCTTGGTGCTTCTGTAGGCTGGATGGATTTGGTACTTACATAACTTAATTATGACAACCTAATCGTTATAGTATTGAATATAATCAAATGGCTCATTCTAAAAAAAACATTATTTTATTTTATAGTTTTTATTGGCTGGAGATAGAATCAAATTGACACCAATATTCACAAGAAACACTTTCCTCACAATTTCCAAGAACACACTCACTACACCACTCAACTTCACATTGCAATGCTCTCTAGACAAGAACATAACAACACAGACGTGTCCTGCAAGCTACCCGGAGAAATGGAACCCTAAAGACGATCCAGAGACTTGTCCAGACTATTTCAGGTGGATCCACAAGGATCTTGAACCATGGGGTAAGACAGGAATCACTAGAGAGACGCTAGAGCGAGCGAGAGCTAAATCTCACTTCAGGCTAATCATAAAAGGGGGAAGAGTGTATGTGCAACGTTACATGAAATCATTTCAGACAAGAGATGTTTTCACAATATGGGGAATATTGCAACTTCTAAGGATGTATCCTGGTCAAGTCCCTGATCTTGAGCTTCTCTTCCAGTGCCATGACCTTCCTCAAATATGGAGAAGAGACTATAGGGCAAGACGAGGAGTCAATGTAACGTGGCCACCTCCTCCACTCTTCCATTACTGTGGCCATGACGGTGCTTTTGACATTGTCTTCCCTGATTGGAGCTTCTGGGGCTGGTAAACTATTTATCAATGTAACATAGCCATTGATTATGATATGATTAGCTTTTTTTTTTTTTTGGTTGGATTTAATTATCACGCCACTAATTATGGTTAGGCCGGAGATTAACATAGAGGAGTGGAACAAACTTTCTAAGGCGATTAATGAAGGGATAAAGAGGGTGAAATGGGAAGAGAGAAAACCTTATGCATATTGGAAAGGGAATCCTGGAGTTGCCAGGATTAGAAAAGACCTCATGAGATGTCATCATCCTATGGTTCATCTCATTCATCAGGTATATATATATATATATATATAAATATCTTTAATTGGTTAGCAATTTTTCTATGATGATCAACATGTTTTTGCAGAATTGGAAGAGAGAGGGGAGGATTGGGTTTAGGACTTCAAATCTAGCAGATCAATGCACCCACAGGTTTTGATTTTAATTTTCATTAATCAAAATTCAATATAGATAGTGATTTGAAATGTTTCTTTTTTTTTTTATTCATTGGATATTATATAAGGTACAAGATTTATATAGAAGGAAAGGCTTGGTCAGTGAGTGAGAAGTACATATTAGCTTGTGATAGTATGACACTTCTTATACAACCTTTCTACTTTGACTTCTTCACTAGAAGTTTAGTTCCAATGGAACATTATTGGCCTATTAGACTTCATCAAAAATGCAATGACATCATCTTTGCTGTCCAATGGGGCAACAACAATACCAAAAAGGTAAATAATATAACATAATTACCAGTCCAGTCTCTCTCTGTTTTTTTTTTTAAAGAAAATTATTTGATCTTCACTTATTTATACAGGCAAAAACCATAGGAAGAAATGGAAGTGGGTATGTACTTAAGAATCTACAAATGAAGTATGTGTATGATTATATGTTTCATGTGTTGCAAAGCTATGGGAAGTTGATGAAGATGAATGTAGAAGTGCCTGAAGGAGCCAAGGAAGTGTGTCCAGAGACAATGGCGTGTCCCATCAATGGAGGTCGAATGAGACAGTTTATGGACGATTCATTGATTATTTCTCCGAGCAACAAGGGCGCATGTGAGATGCCACCAACTTTTGAAGAAGATGAGCTAAAGAAGTTTTTAGAAAAGAAAAAAAGTGTTGAGAAAGAAGTGGAGAAGTGGACTAATGAGTACTGGGATGAACAAAAGAAGTCTCTTCAACATTGAGTTTTGTATATACATACATACATACACTCCACTAATCAGTAACAACTTAATTGTCAAAACATTACAATATTTGTGGTGTGTCCATACCAAAGTATCTATTACAATGCTTGATTTTATCTGTTCTATATATCTTCTCTGTGTCTCTGTATTGTGTTATTCTAAGTACATATGGAGTTTCTGTTTACTCCCATCACGAATAATGATACTGTCAAATGTGGAATTACTAAACCTTATGGATTATAAGTATTTAAGTACTATGGCTAACAACTTATCATATGGTTTAGCCAAAGCCACATTGAGGCTTTTAGTGATGTCTCTCTGTCTTTCTCTTAAAATTTTTAATAAATAAAATTTACAGAAATGATGCTAAACTACTAGAATTAATAACATTGACAGTGAATAATCTTAGCTCATCTTTTTCTTATGGGAGAAACTAAACTCTACACCTGTTGATGATGATGATGATGATCCATTACAGCTTCACCTGTAGCAGAAAGAGAGAGAACAAAGAAGAAGATTACTATTTTTCAGAGACTTTTTATACTGGAAATAAAATAATGATGGATAATTTGTGATTTCATTTATTTACCATGCAGTTTCTTGACAAACCGATCAAACTCAACAAGGTTATGTCCTTCCATAAGAGCTGGAACGAGCCTACTGTAAGCAAACGATGACAAATGCCTTGTATCTGGATCGTTTGGAAACTTGACACTTTCCAACATTTTGTTATACCCAACTCTATCATGACAAGGAAGCGAGTTCTCTCTAGCTATTGGTGTCTCAGTGTCCCATGCAGCGTTTAACACCTGCAAAGGAACACACATATTTCAAGTTTATATATTAGGAGGTTTTGGAGATGGAACCCAATATGTGATTCCAAGTTCTTTTTCTTTACCTGCCAAGCTACAGCCTCAGGTTCTCCTAATGCTCCTGAGAAATCATCAGGACGGTTTAGAACTTGCACTTCTCCTGATACAAAACTTAAAGTGGCACCATGCTTCTTTAGTGTAGATGCAATTTCAGCATAACCATCTCGGTTGCTCGGGTTGTAGAAACCAGCGGTTAGCTCAGCTGCATGGCTTGCTGTTCTGTACCACCAATGGACGTCTGGGAGCTGTTTCACAAGTCAATTATTATTAGAACTATGACAACAGAAAAAAATTCTTGAATGGGATTAGACAAGTAAAAACCAATCAATCACCTTTGCGGCGATGCAGCTAGTGTCAAAGACTAGTTTAGCGAGAGAGAGGACTTTGTCAGCGTGATCTATCAAAACCTGTGAATACCATTTGAGAAAGAATCTCCCGTAGAGACCATCATAGTCACCTCCATCACAGAAGAAACCTGTTCCCTGCGGTTGGGAGTTGTAGGAGCCAGCGTTCTCTGGTCCTCGACCCCAAAACGGACGCCCTCTTGATTCTGCTGCCTTCCCCAGGCTCTTCAGGAGATACTTGTCATAACACTGTACAGTTGCAAAACAGAATGGTCATTGGCTGTCTCAAGAATATTATATCTGTTAAAAAGGAAACATACCTGGAACTCTCCAACACCTGGATATCGCCACCCATGCTTTATGGGACAAGAAGGATACCGTAGCTCTCCACAAGGGCCTAGTCCAATCTCAATCATAGATATTACTCCATCCTCTACAAACTCGGCAAGTTCTATCCGGAAACTTCTCATGTAATCAAAGTACACCTAAAAAGCGTGAAGAAAGTCATTAGGTGTTCAGGAATCCACTGATAGAGATAAGATTGTTTTGTGTTAATGGCTAATACCTCAAGTGCAGTTCTGCCTCTTAGAACACGTTCCTTGTCTATACCCCAAGAAAGACACTCAGGGTTTCGTCTTCCTTCTCTATCAGTGAAGTATATGTCAGGATTGGTTCTCCCAATTTCTGCAACCCAGTGAGGAAGTGGAATGCAAACATCATCACCAACATTGCCCCCACATTCATGAAAGGACATTATAACCTAGCAAGAAGGAAAGAACGTGAGATTCATATGATGAAGCTTGGGAACAATAACGCATCATCAAGCAGACCAGACATAAGACAAACCTGTATCTTAAGATTAAGATCACGGACTATCTGAAAAAGCTGCCTATAACCATTCCAGTTATATTCTTGGGGTGAATGACACTCAGCTATTCCCCACCAGCAATCCACTTTAACCCCATCTACCTGGATTGACTTCAATATCCTCAAGTGCTTTAGCAGTCCGTCTCTATCAGCCAGTTCACACTTCATGTTGATAACCCCTAGCTGTTGACGTGGAGAAGGAGATTTGATCAGTAAGGAGAAAGTTCTGGATAACCATGTGTGAAGGATAAGAGTTAAATTTGCTTACTGGTAACATCACATAAACAGGAACATATGGAGTGCCAGAGAAATCTTGCTCTGTCATATTTGGAGGAATCTCGAGAATCTACCAAATACAAAACGTGGATGAGAGTCATCAAATATACGCATCTAATAAAGGTAAAGGACTGAACTGTTACAAGTTTCTATTTGCTATGTAATAGTGCAGTATCCTACCTGTTTAGAGTTGATAACATCGACAGAACAGCCAATAAGCCCATCAGCCTTATTTACACTGCTAATCAGTTCTGAAGATTGAGTCAGGGGTACATCATATGGCGATGGAGTAGGTGCGAAAACACCTTTCATACGGCAAGAGTTGAGCTCCGTTGGACTCCTATGCCCAGATAACGATACTCCTCTAAGAGCAGGAGGTGAAGATTGATGTGATCCCATGATTTGGGAAGCTGATGAACCACCACCAACCGCAGTAGAGCCACCAGGAGGAGCCTTCATCCCCTAAACACAACGAAACCATAATAAAAACCAATTTTAGCATTTGCTTGCAAATGTATACAACATACTCCATTTTGCTGACCTGAGATTTAGATGGGAAAGTAGTTCCATCAGGAAGAACAACCCACCCAGCTTCTCTAGCCAAAGCGGCAATAACATCATTGATATCAGCTCTAACCCTCAGATTATAATTCCCATGCCTTCTTAACCCACCTAAGATCCTTGCAGTGATAGCTCTCCGATGCCTCTCTCTCAACTTAGTCCTTTCCTTCTCTTCAACCGGTCTACTCCTGCGACTTCCCCCAGGAGTATCAACTTGGTCTTGCATTGACTGCTGAAACATAAACTCGTCATTACTACTCCCTGAAGCTGCTGCACATGCTCCTCCTCCTCCTCCTCCTCTATTCCCATCATCTTCTTCCTTCACATCCGCGTCCATCTCTTCTTCATCATCCTCTTCACTAGCTCCAAGCAGCTTCTGCATGTCTGTTACCATAACTTAAAAACCTTGCTGCTCAAGAATCGGTTATTGGTGAAAAAGTTTCCAACTTTTTACTTCTGTGGTTTGAATTCTCCACGTGTACGTATCACAAAAAGCCTACAAGACAAAAATTAATATCAGCATTTTCATCTCCAGAAGAGAAAGTCGAAAACTTTATGAAAAAAAAAAAACAGAGTTAGTGTTCTGTTCAAGCGGAATTTCAGACATAATCATAACATATGTCCTAAGAGACTAACTTTCTAGCTCAATTCTCTCGAAAATGGTCCGAATGAGAGGAAAGTCTCGGTCTTTCTGGGAAAATCGTCGACAAACACTAAACTTTAGGAGCCGATCGAAAATTTACTCACCAGTTGATGTCCACGGGAGAGAGGATAAGAAGACGGTGGATCTCTCCGGCGGGTGAAAAGGGCGGATCCGGAGAAGGCGCGTGGAGGAGCGTGCGGCGTGAAATTGGAAAGATGGTGTTCACGCGTGTGTAGTGACTTCGAGCGTGTCTGGGAGAAAGGAGGTGTGTGTGAAGCTAAGGCTTGACACGAACTAGGCGTGTGTGTGTGTGTGTGTGAGAGAGAGAGAAGAGACGGGGCTCATTAATCGTGTGAAGGGAGGCACGTGCCGACACCACCGTCACGAGATTTCGATGCAGTTCTGCGGCACAGAAGGCTCTCCTCTCCTGTGGTCAGTCACGTGACTTGCCTGACCGGTCACAGTTCTCGTGATGTGATGTCTAGTATTGTAGTTTTCACACAGTATTAACAAACTACGTGCTGTTTTAGTCTGTTCTACGTGGACTGTATCCCGGTTTTAATAAGCGAAGGAAAACGTTTTTGACTATCATGGCGCGAACCCTCTCGCTCATCTCGAGGGTTTAAGTTGAACACACTTTTTTTACAAGTGTTGTTAAAAAATGTTTCAAATCAAAATCTAATTCTGAATGAGTAAAAAAGAACTTGGAAAAATCGCAATGATTGTATAAAAAACTGATATTAATAATTATATGAATTATACATTGACAATTATTAATAATCAAATATGAAAAAAAAATGAATTTTCTTGGATAACTAGTTTTTGTTTATTTTCACAAAAATAATTATTAAATAGGAAAATGACCAAAATAATTTTTTATTAACTAATACGTTTAAATTAACTAATATAACTAATACTCCCTCCGTTTCAATTTAATTGTCATTCTAGAGTTTTGCACACAGATTAAGAAAACAATTAATTTTACATATTTTCAAAATAAAAACACAATTACCTATACACCTAACTACTTTTCAACCAATGAAAAAATAGAATAACATTTAAAATCAATAAATTTTGCATTGAAATTATAAAACGACACTTATTTTGAAACGAAAATTTTACTCTAGAATGACATATAATTTGAAACGGAGGGAGTATAGAATTAGGGTTTAGAGTGGAATTTTTGATTTAAGATTTCAATTTTTTTTTTTTTTAAAGTAAATATTATAAATTTTAAAATACAAAAAAACTAATTGAGTCATTTTATTTTTTTAATAGCTATTTTTGTGTTGAAAAATTATTTGAGAGTATTGCCATATGAAATTGGGAGATACATAATGTTAGAAAAGTCATGATACACCTAACGTATATACATAGCAATCCTTCATTATGAGATTTGATTAGCCTAATGTGGAAGGCACGTCTCTCCCCACAATCAGATCAAATACTCTGGAGATAATCATTACATATCAGTTTTAATTTTTAAAAAACTATATAATAATATACAACTCGAGGTGAAAGTGGGGAGCCTCCATGTCTCAACATTCATCACGTTCATTAGAGGCAACAACCAAACTCGATCATTTCATTACAAAGAGTCATCTTGATGGAGAGTTCACAGAGCTCCGACCAAAACGAAGTCTCTGCCTCTGAAACTCCAACAAGCTCCGTTTCTTCACCGTACCGGAGAACGTACTCAGACTTCTCCGGTTTATCTCACCGGTTCGACGTTCAAAGCTTCTATAACCGGCCGTCAAACACAGACTCCGTTGTCATGAGTAGCCATGAAGAAGATCTCTCCGAAGACGCCGCCGCTGAATCAAAAGATAACAACGTTGACGATGGTGATGATCAAGACAGTGACATTGACTCTGCAGAAGACGCAGGTAATATACCTCTCAAAGAAAGAAAAGTTTAATTAATCCTCTGTTTCATTTCGATTGAATCAGATGTTTTAGTGCAGAGTTAGAGATGATGAGGGAAAGATTCGCGAAGCTGTTGCTTGGTGAAGACATGTCAGGGAGTGGGAAAGGAGTTTGTACAGCTGTTACTGTCTCTAACTCCATAACTAATCTCTATGGTTCGTTTTCTTCCTCTGTTACATTTGCTCTGTTTTCGAAAACAGAGTATTTTTATAATAATGGGTTATGTTGCAGCGACTGTGTTTGGACAGAGTTTGAGATTACAACCGTTGAGTACAGAGAAGAAAGATCTTTGGAAACGTGAGATGAATTGTTTTATGTCTATATGTGATTACATTGTTGAAGTTATTCCAAAAACTCTTGGTAACAACGTTGAGGTAAGTTAAATCAAATAGCTTACTTCTGGCTCACGCTATCTAAATTTGACCTATTTTGTTGTTCAAATTTTTCAGATAACAGAAACAAAACTAAGATCCGACATTCTCATGAATCTTCCTGCTTTGAGAAAGCTCGATAACATGCTAATGGTAAGTCGAATACTCGAATTGATAACAATCAAGATTCACGAGTTTCAACACCATTGGTTCTTGGCTTTGAGTTTTTGGTAGGATATATTGGATAGTTTTACGGAGAATGAGTTCTGGTACGTGGAGAGAGGAAGCTCATCGATGAACTCAAACAATGGTGGTAGAGATTCAGGATCGTTTAGAAAAGTTGTGGTTCAACGGAAAGATGAGAAGTGGTGGCTTCCAGTGCCGTGTGTACCTGCTGAAGGTTTATCAGAAGATGAAAGAAAGCATTTGCGTCATAAACGTGACTGTGCTAATCAGATACATAAGGCTGCTTTGGCCATTAACGACTCCACTCTTAATGATATGGATATTCCTGACTCTTACCTCACCACTCTCCCAAAGGTATATTATAAATCGTTCTAGAGACAGGCATCAGTCATAACCGAAATGATTTCTTAAAATCCGATTTATGCGACTTAATTTGGTTTAAATCATTACATATCAGTTTAAATCGATTAAAATTGGTTTAACTCGATATACATTGATCTAACCTGACTAAACGAAATAACATAAGAGTATATTTTGACTAATTTAGATATATCAACTTCACAATCAATTTGTCTATAAACAAATGATGTCTCTTAAAGTTTGAGTAATATAATAACCGTTTGAGATATATAATGATTTATATATATTTATACGATTCAATTTGGTTTAAATCATTATAAATCAGTTTAAATTGGTTCAATTCGATGTACATTGATCTAACCTGGCTAAACAAAATAACATAAGAATATATTTTGCCTAATTTAGTTATATCATCTTCACCAATAGCAGCTCTGATAGGAAGCTATAGAAGCTCTAGCTTCCGACCCTATCTATTTTAAATAAATTATCAATATTTAATTTCTAAAATTTTCTATAGATTAGCTGGATAAAGTTTCTTTTTCTTTCCAGTTTTGTGAACGCCTGTACATTTGAAAGTGTTGTAATCAGTAAGGTGTTTTTGTTCTATTTTGGAACAGAGTGGGAAAGCAAGTGTAGGAGACGTGATATACAAGCAACTATGCACAGCGGAGAAGTTTTATCCAGACCAGCTTCTTGATATCTTGAAGATTTCATCAGAACACGAGGCGCTTGAGCTTGCTGACAAAGTTGAGGCTTCACTGGTAACATGGAGGCGTAAGACTGGAGGGTTGACTCACTCCAGGTCATCATGGGACATGATGAAAGATATGAGTGGCGACGCTGGGAACGACAAGAACAACATTCTCGCGGCTCGAGCTAGGAGCTTACTCTTTTGTCTGAAACAGAGATTCCCTGAACTCTCTCAAACCTCACTTGACATCTGCAAGATTCAGTTTAACCGAGTAAGTAATCTTTGTAGAATCTTTATTTTACATTGACATTAAAATTATATAGTTCATGATCCAAATATTATGTGTGTTTCTTTGGTTTGGATAGGATGTGGGCAAGGCGGTGTTGGAGAGCTATTCAAGGGTTTTAGAAGGGTTGGCTTATAATGTTGTTTCGTGGATTGATGATGTTCTTTACGTGGACAGAACAGTGAGGAACAGAGATGATTAATTTTTTCATTTTTCTGAAATGTAATGAGAATACAAAACTAAATGTTTTTGTGTGTTGGTTATGATTGTCTTCTGAAACTAAAAAAAAAAGACTTGATCTCTTTTGTTAAGTACATCTCTAAATCTCTCATCACAACTTTAAAAACAAGCTGACACATAATCAAGTAAGATGTTCATGTTATTTAAGTTTAAGCCTCATCTTATTCATCCTCATATAACAACATACAGCTTAACATTCACAACATAACACTCAAAACTCTACAGAAGCCAAAATGAAAAAAAATGAAAAAAGAGTTTTACAGTCTTTGGGGTAGTAAAAGCTGTGACTGTATGTATCTGCACAAGAAAAGAAACTAGAGCTTGTACATGGAAGTGGAAGTGATACTGTACATAGTAAACAAAGAAGCCTCTTGATGATCATGTGTATCTTTCTGGTAGTGACTGCATTGATGTTTTGTTTACTGGAACAAGTCTGTGAAGCTGCTGATTATCTCATCTAATAGTTCTTCAAGGATTATTTCACCTGTTTGAGAACCGATGCATCCGATATCGAATCTGAGATCCATCCAGAATCCAGTCCTAGCCAGGTCTTTGCGCACTATCTGGTCTAATGTGTGAGGAGAAGGCAAAGGTAAGAGATGCCAGTAAACCTCTTCTTGCACCACTTCAACAGAATTTTCCATGTCTGGACAAAACCGGACTCCTGGTTTGGCTAATGAGATCCAAGGACCATGCCTACTGAACTCAATAAGAACTTCATTGATACAATCAAAGAGGAGTTTCTTATCACTGCAGAAGGTTGTAGAACAGAAGTCTATGTCATCCATTAAGGCCTGCTCAAGAACCTGCTCTGAGTAAAACGATCTGGCTAAAAGTTCTTCCCAGTTTAACTCTGAGGATGTCACCACATCTTGAATGTATGCAAGTGTCAGTTCCTTGTCATCCATTCTAGTTTTTGCATTGTTGTCTTTCTCAAGTCTTGGAGAGTCAAGTTCTTCGAATCTTATGCACAGAGGTTTCAACCTCATTTCAACTAAATGAATCAATCAAAAAGGAGTAAGAAACTGAGCTTTACATAAGCTTTTTAACTAAACTGGTGTAGCAAGACATACCTGAAGAGAACCTGGAAGTACTTGGACTTGTGTCATCATCTGTAAACAAGGGCTCAAGCACAGAGACAGGACTTGACTTTCCTGGCACATCAGTGGTATTGTCTTGGCAACACTCAGACATTTTAACTGAAGAACTTGGTGGTGAACAAGGTGAATGTTTCTCGTCATCTGTTTCCTGAGTAAGTATAAAGCAGAACATATGAGCTTTCTTTCAAGAAAACAAGTGCACATGTAAACAAGGCTTCAAACCTTTTCCAAGTGTTGTCTATGCTCATTTTCATCATGAGTTTCAAACTTGTCTTCACCAACATATGCATCTTGGTGGATAATGGAAAAGCTAATTTCTGCAGACAACGGATCCAAGACAGCCTTCTCTTCTTTCCTTGAAACACCTGCTGATAACTCATAAAAGAAGTTAGTTCCAAGGCTGAGAAAGAATCAAATCAAAAGAAAAAGAAGGAACAAGAATCACCTGTAGAAGCTGTTTCTTCATGTTTGTTTGAATCCAATCCAAGTGTCTCATTGTAATCTTCTGAAATGCATTGTTGAATCTTTGGTTCCTCGGTTATCTGGTGATCAACAAAGTCATGTGCCAATGTCATTCTTGGACTGTTTTCTGGTGTGGAGAACTGAGGGAGAGCAAGAATCTTTCCTAGGATTCTTGGCACTTCCTTATCCGGTGAATCAACATCCATCTCTCCTTCTGCAAGCATCTCAGAGAGGTGTTTCTTGGCTGTAATGTATATACCACACATACTCTTCTTTGGACCTTCTTTAATAACTTCAGCCAATACTTCTCCTCTGTCTGAAACATGTCTCCCGGAACTAGTCTCTATCTCCTCTTCCAAACAAGAGTTATGACTCATGTTAGATGACGACAATGCATCTGGATCTTGATCAGATTCATGTTGAGCATTGCATGGATTCTTTGCAGATTTTAGTCTTCTTCTGATTCTACTGAGAGTGAAGCGAGAACCGGATCTTTCGTTCTTGGCCTTGCTTCTTGTAGCTTGTCTTCCAGGTGATGAACCAAGATTCAAGCAACTTGGTTCAGGTTTCAAAACCACAATTGTTTGTGTTCTGCTTTCATTTGTAGAGCTTGTCTCTTTGATTCTCTGAGAATTTCCGGAAACTGGTGAACTACCAATGTTTAGGAATGATGATTCTTCTTTAGAATCATCATCCACAAGATTCTTGCAGCTCTCTACCTCGCTCTCCTTCTGAGCTATCAAACGCCTTATCAACTCACTAAACTTCTCTTCCGACTCATCATCATTTATTGAATCAGCATCAGGTTTCTTCTCTGCATGATCATCATCACCAGTGATGCTCTCACTGGTTTTGCTGCAGGTCCTTCCTCTGCATTTAGTATCACACTTTTGCTTAGTCGTCTCATCAATCTCCTCTTCAATAAGTTTCTTGACACTCTTCTGAGACAACAACAACAACAACAACATCATTTTTCTTATCCCTCAAAATAAAAATAAGTTTGATACTCAAAAAAATCCAACAAGGACTAAAACCAAGACCTCACAGTCACAGGTAAGCTGCTTTTCAACCTTAGTCTCAATACCTGCATTGTAACATTAACCAACAAAAGTGAGAATCATTGTTGTTTCAGACACATTCTCTTAATGATGTCTGATTAAATGACCCACAAGGTAAAAAAAAAAAAAGAAACTCAAACCTAAGATTCGTTTGCTACCACGTTTCTTATCCAACAATAGCTTCTGGTTAGATCCACCATGTCTAAGATCAAACATGTTCATAAACAACCAAACACATCCTGTCCCTTCTCTTGAAACATGTCTTGCACAAATCTCTTTCTCCATTTAAAACCCACAATGCTCTTCTTCTTCTTCTCCTTCTCTATGTTTTCTCCTCTTGAGAGCAAAATCTACAAAAGAGCTAGATATAAAAGAAAAGGAGATACAAAAACTGTGAGTACAATCAAAACTGGCCTTTATACGATTCATTCATGCAGTGTTGATTTACACAAAAGGAATTAATAACAGAAAAAGAAAAGAAAGAAGACTTTTACCTTTTAGAATCCAATCCGATGCTTGCAAGAAGAGGAAAAAAATAGCTAGTGCAGATGTAAAGAAGTAGTACTGGTAATACTTTACCTGACTCAGAGTTCAGCCTCCACTGTTGAGAAAATATTATAATAAAAACTCACGAGACAGAAGCTCAAAGCACGAGAGTAGATGGTTTAACAATTAGCAGAATGTGTCATTTAGTAGTAGACCCACTTCCCACCAGACAAACNGAAGAGGAAAAAAATAGCTAGTGCAGATGTAAAGAAGTAGTACTGGTAATACTTTACCTGACTCAGAGTTCAGCCTCCACTGTTGAGAAAATATTATAATAAAAACTCACGAGACAGAAGCTCAAAGCACGAGAGTAGATGGTTTAACAATTAGCAGAATGTGTCATTTAGTAGTAGACCCACTTCCCACCAGACAAACAAAAATATATATTCAATTAAAAAAATTATACAGATTCTTTGATTAAGAAATTGACAATTGGCATCAATGTTTACTAGAGTTTATATTATAAACGACAAAACTCAGCTTACTTAAAACATAGAAAACCTATCAAGTTTCATCATATTTACGTAAATGTATGTGATTGCATAGTAGTAGACCGAATTGTGATTTATGGAATTAGAAATATTTATAGTTAACTTAAATATAAAAAATTCGATAAATTTAAAACTATTAGACTCGTGTATAACAGCGGTCCTACCATTATATACATAAAAGTATGTGATTGTAACTATATATAGTATAAAATTGGATATGATAATCAAGATCGGTCATGAACCAAGAAACATTCGTCTAAGATCTCTAAAATTTTTGAAAAAAAATTATATAGACAAAAAATCAAAAAAAAAATTCTCTCGGTCTTAAAATTAGCTCAAGTCTTTCATAAAATCGTGTATGGTCCGGACAATGTGAATATGTTAGAGAGACAGAGACAGGGTAAATGTAATAATGATAATGTGTAGATGATAATATGGGGAATTGTGTCGGTGTCGGTAGGTGATGGTCCTCCTCCGTAGAGTCAAGTTGTCCGAGTCCAAACTCGTCGATTTCTCACCGTTACTTTATCCTTTTTTTGGTCTGAGTCACCGTTATTTTATGAACTAGTCAGTGTGAAGTCCCAGCGAATAAATATTGTTTAGTAAAATCTTCAAACCATAATAAATAACCCTAATAAATGTTGTGAGCACGATGGTTGATGAAATGAAATAAAATTGCAGAACTAACTGGTCAAGTCGTTTGACGGAAAAACAATTTAGGAAAATGGTGGAATTTTATTATAAAAAGGGTTATTATCTTTTAGCTAAAAAGAGAGTTACTGATCTTTATTATAGAAAATCTTGTGACTGGCTAAAAATGTGGAATCACAACATGTTTGAACATTTTATGAAACATGGAGTATACCAAAAGCGACATGATTCCAAGAGAATTAAAGATTATGCAATTCAATGGTTTTCATTATCATTTTGATTAATATGGTGTTTACATATGAGTTAGTTATATATATGGTTGATAGAAGATTTGATAAAAAAATGTTAAAAATAAAAAGGAATAGTGTGCCAAACGAACTCTCACAATTGACAAAATCCATTTATGAATACTTGGACATGTGTATATTATTATTGTCATTATGATATTTACAACAACGATGTTGATCCTTGTTTTGGACCACACCAACTGTACGTGTTCCTTTTGCGAATTCGGATGCATGTTTGTGTAGATCCATTTATATGTGGTTTTATATTGTTCTCGTCGTTACGCATGCACGAATGCACCAATTCAGTAGTTGTGATGTCCTTTATGATTTTATCATAGTCCAATAAAATTTAAAAGAATACAGCCTAATTAAACTATTACTTACATTTGATTCCTAATTACTCGTGGATGTATATGATCCAGATTAATTTTAAAAAAAATCGGTAAAAAAGATTACAAATCTTCAAATAGCCGTTAATAAACCCCTTATCTAAAGTCAGCAAGTAGTACCAAGATAAGAGACAAAAGACATTAACAAATATACGAGCAATAAAGATCTTAAAAACAAAATTAAGAAAAAGACAACGTTTCTTGTATACTGCTTTTACACATGACAACAGAATAAACGACGACACTAGAGAATTACAAAGCATGTAGTCACTTAGGATTCTTCTCTCACGGTCACAGCTCTTTTTGTCTCTCTTGTCCTAATTAAAGCGCATGTGAAGAGTTGATGGGCTTTCTTGTGTGCATCGCTTTCATTGCCAAGCAATCTTCCGTTGTTCTTGGGTGCCATCGCCTAATTAAGACTGTTAATTTACTAAAGAGGAAATTAAAAGGATTGTAATTGCCAATTATAAAGCTAACAAACATGCATTTGGGTTGCGTCATGTGTAATCAAATGCATTATGATATATAGAAATTTGTCATAATGTTCTACCTAACAGGAAAAAGGATAGATTAGTCTTGAGAAACAAGCAGGGACTAGTCATCACACTAATTTTAGTTAAGGGTGTTCGGTACTAATCATCATGAATAGTCAACGATAATAGCGTAAAAACTAAAAAATAAGAGTATGATATGCATGAATCTCTCTTAAAACTTAAACATCTTGAAATGCAGAACGTAATATGTTGTTATTGGTGATCTAGATTTGTAAACAAATATATAACCTTCATAAATTATCACAGTTTTATGTCAAGTAGCTAGCACACCTGTATGATTTTGTACGTTTACTTTATATTAGTGCTATAGAGCCTGTAATATGAAAATGTTATGACGTAGAATTCAAACTGGGCTTAAATGGATATATTAAGACCAAACATTATATATGACCTGGCCCATTTAATATAACCTGTCATTTTTCATTTAGATTTTCCCAAATCTTATTCTCCTAAGTTGAAACATTCCACGATGAAAGATAATTTAGAACCAGTTTTCTTCTTAATATTTAAAGTTTGGTCAGTTGATAAACTAGTAGAGTTGTGGATGTGCTTCACCTGTCTTGATATCACTAGACAGACTTCTTTATCTATTATAGTAACCAGTCAATTACACACTAACGTAATATTCAATAAGAAATAAAACTCTATTACCGCCCGGGAAAATATATAATTCAAATGAAAATGACGAAGAGGTAAGCATTATGAAGAATATTCCTAGTATTTTTACATTATATAACATGGTACAACCACACACGGCATGTTAGGAAATCAACTAGTTCTTAATTTATCAAAAATATCTTAAAAAATCAGACAAAAAAACACATCTAAAAATACGTTTCAATCTATATAAATTATTTTTAAAGATCTGTTCTCATCTATATTAGTTTACTATGTTGAAGAACAATATAACATACATTTAAAATTGTAACGAATTTAGCAAAAAAAAAAAAAAATTCTGTTGTCTAAATCAAAATCAATGTTTTACCGACCAGAACATAACCGGTACGGACCGGAATCAGCTATGTTTTTTTTTCACGGGCGGGAATAAAAAGTGAACACGTCAGAGTAAAGAGACTGCGTGTATATTAATCTACAAGTTGGTGTACCAATCTCATCTGTGTTTCTACGATTTAATCTCACCAATAATTACACGTGTCCTCAATCCATTAAAAAGAAACCATCCCAAAACCCCGCCATTATATAAAACTACCGTACGCTTGCACACACCAGAACAACCTCCCTCTGTTCTCTTATACTCTGTTTTTTTTTTCTCTGTAGTCAATAAAGTCAACACCTTTTAGGTTCGCTGCTCGTTGATCCGGTGAATTCTTATCTCCTCCATCTTCGTTGTCGTCTGGATTCGTGTGGATTCACGAATCAAAAAAAAAGATCTTATTTTTTCGGATTGTTTATTGCTGTAAAGTCGGGACCTTTGAGCTATAGAAAGAAAGAGGTTTTTTCTCTCGATGGCTATGGTGACTCCAATTCCAGCAATGGAGGAAAGAGCTGGATCCATGAGATTCCACGGAATGGGTAGCCCCGGATCAAGATCAAGTAGGAGCAGCGTTACGGAAGAGCCTGTCTCGAGGCTGATCGATGAGAAAATCTTCGTTGCTGTGTGTAAAGATGTGGGTAAGAGCAAGTCTACACTCATCTGGGCATTGCAGAACACTGGAGGGAAGAAGATTTGTCTTGTTCATGTTCATCAGCCCTCTCAGATGATTCCAGTTAGTAAGTAGTATATCCTTAAAACCTTGTTTGTGTGTTTTTGTGTATGGAATCAAAGGTAGAGACTTTTAGGGTTGTGGTGTTATTGATCATACTCTTTTGTTAATGTTTTACTAGTGGGCGCCAAGTTTCCTGTTAGTTCTGTGAAGGAGGAAGAAGTCAGGGTTTTCCGGGAAAAAGAAAGGGAAAAAGTGCATATGGTTCTAGACGAGTATCTTCGTATTTGCCAGCAGAGAGGGGTATGTATGTCTTCTTCTTTAGGGGGGCTTATGATAGTGTACGAGGTGTCTTGATAGAGGATAATGAAGTCAATTATGATTGTAGGTGAGGGCAGAGAAGATGTTTATTGAAATGGAATCCATCGAGAATGGAATTGTGGAACTGATCGCGGAGCTTGGAATCAGGAAGCTTGTCATGGGAGCAGCTGCAGATAAACACCATTCAAAGTATGGATGTCACTTTGCTGATTAACATTGAATCTTAATCAATCCTTTGTATAAAACTGTTAGCCGTTTTACTCTTTGATCTTGAATTCTGGCTTTCTCTACATACAGGAAAATGACGGAACTAAAGTCAAGGAAAGCTATCTTCGTATGCAGAGAAGCTCCTGCTCTTTGTCAAATATGGTTTACTTGCAAAGGATACTTAATACATACAAGGTTTTGGCACTTTTCTTTTTTTTCTCAATATGAATTATACGATTCTGGCATGTATACTTGAATTTAATGTGATGCCATTTCAGGGAAGCTGCGGATGAGAGTGAATCAGAATATGCATCTCCACGTCCTTCCATAAGTGGAAGCGAGATACTTGAAGCTTTCTCTACACCGGAGTCTGAGCATCTGCATAGCACTGATTCACTTCACCGATCAGAAAGCAATGGAAGTTCAACTGAACACAGTGGGAGGGTGTCAGATGGATCATTAAGTACTGATGATGAGGAGGAGAGAGAACCTGACGGCAGTGGAGTAAGGAGAAGTGCAAAAGTTATGAATACAGTTGAACAGCGTTCTGGCCACTCACATCCCTCCAGTTTTCCGGTATGTTCTTTATGTAGTTCCTAATGGTAAAAGCAATTTGATTTTGTATACCTTGCATTCTAAGCTTTCCAGCAACTGTGTCCTTCGCTGCAGGATGGAGTGGATGATTCATTTAAGGATAAAATCAGACAAGCTACTTCAGAGGCTCAAAGTTCTAAACGAGAAGCTTTTGCAGAGACTGCTAGGCGTCAGAAAGCTGAGAAAAATGCACTTGATGCAATCAAAAAGGTGAGTTTCCTTGTCAAATGTAAATGATGAAAGTCTTTTTGAAAGTAGGTGCTAGTTGTGGATATAGGCTCATGGTGGTGCTAATGGTTATAGGCTAAACAATCAGAAAGTGCTTATTCTGAGGAGTTGAAGCGAAGGAAAGATACTGAGGTAGCACTAGCGAAAGAAAAAGAGAGACTTGTAACAATAAAAAAAGAACAGGAAGTAGTCATGGAAGACGTTCAAAGTGCAGTGGCACATAAAAAGATGCTTGAGAATCAAATAGCAGAATCTGAGGCTACGATCGAAAAGCTAAACCAGAAACTTGACATAGCTGTGAAGTTGTTACAGAAGTTGAAAGATGAACGAGAGGAGTTGCAGGCAGAACGTGACAGAGCACTTAGAGAAGCTACGGAGTTGAGGAGTCGTGCAGAGACCTCAACGCTACAGTCACCTCAGTACTTCACGCATTTTACTTTCTCCGAGATTGAGGAAGCAACTAATCGGTTTGATTCGACACTGAAGATTGGGGAAGGAGGTTATGGAACCATCTACGTTGGTTTGCTGCGTCATACTCAGGTGGCTATTAAAATGTTGAATCCTAACAGTCCACAGGGTCCAGTGAAATATCAGGAGGAGGTAAATTCTCAACACTGTCCTTATGAACTTTCAGCTTTATAGCACTCGTTGTGACTTATTCTTGTGGTTTTGCAGGTTGATGTGTTAAGCAAAATGAGACATCCAAATATCATCACTTTGATTGGAGCTTGTCCAGAGGGGTGGAGTCTTGTCTATGAGTATCTTCCCGATGGAAGCCTAGAAGACAGACTTAATTGCAAGGACAACTCTCCACCATTATCATGGCAAAGCCGTGTACGCATTGCCACTGAGATATGCGCAGCACTCGTCTTTCTTCATTCCAATAAAGCTCATAGCGTAGTACACGGTGATTTAAAGCCAGCAAGTATTCTTCTCGATACCAATCTCGTTAGCAAGTTAAGTGACTTTGGAAGAAAAAGTTCGTCATCTGCTTACTTGGATCCAGAAGCTTCTAGTGATGGGGAGGAGCTAACTCCGATGTCAGATGTTTACTCCTTTGGGATTATATTACTACGCTTGCTGACAGGGAGACCTGCCTTAGGGATAGCGGATGAAGTGAAGGAGGCCATCGAATCTGGAACACTGATCGACCTTTTGGACCCTTTAGCTGGTGACTGGCCCTTTGTTCAGGCTGAGCAGCTTGCTCGCTTGGCGTTGAGGTGCTGTGAGACTGTTAGTGAGAATCGTCCAGACCTTGCCACTGAAGTATGGAGGGTACTTGAACCTATGAGGGCTTCTAGTGGAGGATCTTCATCGTTTCATCTCGGTCGTAATGAGCAGCGCATAGCCCCTCCATATTTCATTTGTCCCATTTTCCAGGTAACTAATCAATGTAACTGAAAAAGTTGCTTGTTGACGTCTAAAAGAGACTAAGCCAGTTCTTCTTCTGTTTCTAGGAAGTCATGCAGGATCCACATGTAGCTGCAGATGGTTTCACATATGAAGCAGAGGCTATAAGAGCGTGGCTGGACAGTGAACACGATACTTCACCAATGACCAATGACAAGCTCTCCCACACCAGCCTTATAGCTAACCATGCTCTTCGTTCTGCAATTCAGGAGTGGCTTCAACATAATTGCTGAAATGAAATCCTTCAAATTGTCAACCCCTGTTACCACAAGTAACCTCTCATGTAAAAAAGGTTTTCTCATTCTCTTTTTCTGTGGGAGGCAACAGAGAGTGAGTGAGTTAGATTAGTTTTTTTTTTCCATTATACACATACATATGATCTCTCCACGGATAACATATATTGTCTACTTTATCAAACGTAGTGTAAATCTTCCATATTCGACTGATGTGATTTGTCTGTGTATATGTAATATGTTGTGCATGAAAAGGGAGGTTATATGTATCTAATGTTTTTGAGTAGCTAGATTAATGCCAGAGAAATTTCATGGGAACTTTCCCATCCAGCGTTTAGTGGAGAAGTCTTACCAGGTGGAGAAGTCATTTCTGTTCCAGGTTGTCATTTCCTCGTATGCTATTTGGACTGAGACAAAAACTGAACAAACAAAATAAAGAAATGAATAATACCACCATGAGATGTGCAGCCATTGATACCACCATGATTATTCTATACTTTCTTCTCTGGCCACTGATCAAGTCTTTCTCCACATAATATATAGATATATAGATTGGTCCAATATTCAAAGGAACAGAGTATTGAGAAGTGCAGCCATTGGATGTCTTCTTGACCAAGTAAACAGGCAAATAGTATTGGTGCAGAGAAAACTCTCTGTCTGCTAGACTAAAACTCTGTCTCTCCCTATTCTAAAGAAGGTCCATTGTTCTCACAGGCTATGGAGGAAGAATCAGCCAGTAAGCAGATACTCGATGAGAAAATCTATGTTGCAGTTGGGAGAAACGTATGGAAGAACATATCAAATCTCTTGTGGACATTTAAAAACTCCCAAGGAAACAAAATCTGCATCCTTCATATTCACCAGCCATCTCCAACGATTCCTCTTTGTAAGTGTATCTCTAAGTGTCTCTCTTGTAAGATCACTCAGGTTTTAAAGTATCGACTTATGTAAAACTTGTTCACTTTTGTATTCAAGTGGGAACCAGATTTGAAGCTTCAACAGTAGATGAGGAATCATTGAGAGCATACCGAGGCAAAGAAACAGCGAAAGTAGATAAGATTCTAGAAAAGTACCTTAGTATTTGTCTGTATAAAGGGGTAGGTATAAAATGTGACATGAATATTACTCAGTTTTCTCCATTTTGAAGAGGAAATTGATTGTGTTTTTTCTTGTTTGTAGGTTCAGGCAGAGAAGATGTGTATCGAGATGGACTCAATTGGTAAAGGGATTGTTGAAACAATATACCAACATAGGATCAGGAAGCTTGTTATGGGGGCTGCTGCAGATAAACACTATTCCATGTATAGAGATTAGACATGCTCTTCTTTCTTTTGATTGTAGTGTGTTCCTCGCTCAGCTGTTTCTTACAGCAAGTTTTGTTAACTGTTTTGCTAGAAAAATGGAGGATCTCAAGTCCAAGAAAGCCATCTTCGTCAACCAACAAGCGCCTGCTACTTGTCAGATACACTTCACCTGCAAAGGAAACCTTATCCATACAAGGTTTCAGCCAATGAAACCTTTCTTTATTTTTTATGCTTTGTTTGTGGGTGATGTTTATGCTTTATTGCTGGCGTTTCTTGATCACTGTATAGGGAAGCTAGAGTGGATGAAGTGAGGGCTCTCTCTGTTCTCCTGTCTGAGTTTCAGCGGCTTGTGTTGCCACAAATAAGCTCTGGTTCACTTGAAGAGGCAGCAAGTTTGAATGGAGAGAGTAACAGAACCTCCATGGATATAATCACCTCTGATACATCGTCAAACGCTGGAAGAGCCGAGGTAACACCTAGCCAAGATCAAGAGGAACCGAATGAGTCATCTTCTCAAGTTTTCCCGGTATGTCTTTGTTTGTTCTGTGTTAGAAAACATACCTTTTCATTTCACCTGGTTGATGCAAATGGCTCTAAAGATTATGTTAATCTGCATTTTCTATCTGGTTGGTTTGCCTACTGTGTTATGGTTTCATCAGTGCAGCAGAATGCAACTAGACGTGATGAACTTCCTCATCAAATCCACCATGCTATGGCAGAAGCTGGCAATCCAAAACCATGAGCATTCTGAGTGATGCTCACCAACTGGAGATATTTTTCTCCCTGAGTTACAGAGGAAGAGGAAAGAGAGATAGAGAATGAACTGGAATGTATGTTTCTAAAGAAGAGAAAACAATTTATGAGAGGTAGCTGTAATGGCTTGTGCGTTGTGTTATGCGTACAAAATGGAACCTCTTTAATTTTCATTCCTATGTCATTTTTTTTGAAAATGAATACGCTTTTAACGTTTACAGGAATTACATGCTTGATCTTTGAACAATGTGACTGACTATATATATGTGTTGGCCTCTTAGATCTTACCATATTAGTCAGACTTCTTTTCTTATGTGGCTTGTGATTGCTGATGCTAAAACAATGGAACATGTCTTCTTTATCGGTTTGTGAGTTTATATCAACACAAAACTGAAACAAGAAAACTAATACAGAACTGGACTCTAAAAAACTGCATCATGACTTGTGGAACCATTCTCTCTATCTCCTATTTGCTCATATAACCAACCAAAACTGTGTCAGCCATTGAAGTTCATCAATTGTGTCCTGAAGATTGACCTTCACATCCAAACCATACCCCACATCAGTCCATCTCAACATTACGATAGAAGCAAAGATAATGCAGCCAAAGAAAGAGATATCATTACCTATATGTTGTCTTGTAGTCCTGTTGCTGTTTATGGAAAAGTGAACAGGCCTTCTCTCTTGTCCTAAGGAGCAAACCCAATTGGAGTTCAGCCTTCGAGCAAAATCTTCTACCTCTCTGTAACAATATTCACTATATAAGAAAAGAAAAGGATGGACACAAGTTTTGAATTAACAAGAGTTACCTATCAAGCATTTCCTTCATAGCTGGATCGATTTCATCATCTATATCTCCATCTTCAGACCCGGCAACCTTTGGCATAAAAATGTCATCTTCAGGTACCTCTCTCTCTCTGGATCCAGTCTCTTCAACACCTTGTTGTTTGGAATGAAGATCATGCGATTCCTACGCACAAGGAACTCATTCATTAACCTGAAAAATGCAAACTAGGAGTAAAACCAGAGAAAGTAGTCTGAACCTTGTCATGAAAGTCTTCTGGTCCTTCTTTGTCATTTGAAGAATCAATCTTTTGGTCCTTCTTTTTCTTGCTCTTCTTCTTTCCCTTTGACATCTTGGGATCTGTGAAACAGAACTTTCCTTACTTCAGATGACGCCTTCAAAAGGAAGTAGAAAATACAAAAAATAAAGATGACTAAGAGACAACACAGACATAAATTCACTCAGCAAATATCTCTCAACCATGGACACCCAAAGGCAGATCATGATTTTTTCATCAGACAATCTGTAGATGTATGCATGAAATTGGCAGATACGCAACTAAACAGCACTGAATCAACAACAAGAAATAGCAACATGAAACTAAAATGTGGTGTTTCAATAAATAGCTCAGAGAAGCCAAAGAAGACAAAGAACAAAACGAAAGGATTTTATGAATTTAGAAAACTAAAGTAAGATCAAAGGAAAGTACCTCTGCCGTTAATAAACGTTAACAGGTCATCCACCGAACGTTCATCCACATGTTCTCCCATCTCAACGTTCTAAGAAATGGTAAACCCAAACTTTCATAAGCTAGTGAAATAGTTCAATCTTACAGACCAAACAACGCTCAACTTCATTCATAAAGCTACAAATTACATTATCATATACAAGTAAAATAGAAACTGCTAAACAGACCTTCAATCTCTCTCTTTCTTTCAGCTCCTTTCTTTTCTTTGCGTATAATCTATTCAGTAGTCGAATCCGTGGATCATCCATTGTGTTCTTCAGAGGCTCTAATTTCTCCTCCTGGACAAAAACCATCAAACAGTTGTCGAAAAAGGAGAAGACACATGCTAAGAAGAGATGATCTTGATCAGCACCTCAGTGAGGTCATCAGGCAAATGAAATATATCTCGTATCTCCTCAGGTGTTTTCCCTTCAATGATCCGTGCAAGTGCGCGACTAGTAATATCAACCAAAGTCTTCAGCTGCAAACTGTCAGCCGCTGAGGTCAACTCACATAGCCTCTTTGTGTCCATTCGCATGAATTTTTCATCATAACTTTTTCGTTCCTAAATAGTTTGATAAATACATGAATTTAAAAAGAAGACCAGATGGAGATGTATGTAACTTTCATACAAACCTTATTTGAACGTCCAGGCACTTGGTGAAATCTGCAGTAATCAAGAACCAAGCTGAACATAGCTGTGTTCACTCGCTGTGGAAGCGATATAGGATGACTCTCAGAAGATCCAAGGCCCTTGTGTATTACTTCTTGACATATCATGGGACAGAACATTGCAACCTCTTGCTCCACTTGCTGAAGTGAACCATCAGAAGTTTGAAGCCAGATGTAGGACTGCATAGTCTGAATCCATGGCAAAGCAAAATAATGTCACAGTATCTAACAACCCTATCGAATCATCAGAAGGTAAAGCATATGGATATTTTCACCTCTGGTTTCATCATGTCTAGATCACTTTCTGACATTGATGATGGATTTGATGACCCAGTGTATTGCTATTAGGCTGCTCAAACAATATTCATCCACCAGACTAGTAAAAGAAATGAAAACATGTATATAATGAAGAGATTAACCACTCCAGCAAAATAACAATGAACAACTAATTACATAATATAATAGTCAAAAGACAAAAAAAAAAACACAATCTGAGCTCTCAGCTCTGAATCTTACATGTAATGACGAAGCTGATCGCTAAGAAACCAGGAAGCTAAGGAATATTCAATCTAAGCTATTGATTGATCAAAATCCTTTTTTTGGTTAAAGAATAAATCCCTATTTAATGCTAAAAAGGCATATCTCTAACGGTTTTCTGACAAGCAAAACAGAACCAACTTCGAACTTATAAAATCAGACAAGAACAGTAATAAAAAAAAACCGTAGATCAGGAAAGTGAAACACGAGGCATATCTAAGCTTGATCCAAATGAGGCAGCAACAAATAAATAAAAATTTTGAAACAGAGCAGAATAACAGCCGTATACGTTAATAACATAATCAATTACGCTAATAAGTGTTTCGTACCTTATAACAGAGATTAAGAAACGGAGGTTAACCGACGGTGGATGGAATTCAATTTGACGGTGGATAGCGACGGCCGGCGGCGGTTAAGAGATGTGTAGCACGGATTAGAGAGAGAGAAAGCGGACTAAAATTTAGTAGTTTATTTAATTTAAAAAAAAAATCACGTGAGAAGGAGAAAAAAAACAAACGTATGTCCAGATGTCGCAACGTTATAGGCTAGTGGCTTGCGTGTAATAACAGAAATCAGGGGTTGGTTATAAATATTTTCTCGCTAATTTTATTACGAGAAATGGATTTTTGTCAAACTAAAATTGTGGCTTTATGTAGCCCATGTATATGGCTCAAACTTATAACTATTTTATTCAACCCAAGCCACTAATGGGCTTTGAATTTAGGATTGTGTTCTGTGGAGATTTGTGTTCATAAAAAAATAACACTATTTTGTGGAAAACTAAAACAAAGCTGGCTAAAAAAAATTGAATAATCCAAGAGAGGTGGAGGTGGGGACAGTAACGGCAACGGGAATAATGGGAGTGGCCATGAAATAATTGCACCAGGGAGAAAGAAAATAGAGGAGAATTATTAGTATTGGACTGAGTGTGACAGAAAGAGTCTGGGTGGCTTGGGTCGGTTTTGTATGCGTAAGTTTTCGCCACGTGTCGTCTTATCCATGGATTGGACGGCTTGGAATCATGGACTTTAAAAAATATGCTCACAACAAAGTCCAAATAAATTACAACCTTCTCGATTTTATTTCTTCGTAAAAGACTAATAGTAGTAGACATTAGCCAAAAAAAGAAACATTAAACACGTTGAATATTAATCTGATGTAGAATGGGTTGAATTTGAATATATGTATTACTAATTCTTCAGAATTGTGTGTGGATAGCAAAAACTTGCAAAACCGAAAATCAAAACGCATACGAATCAAACATATGTAAGCTTGGTTTGGGTAATCAAAGAAAGCCACGTTTGGTTTATATGAGTAGAAGAAAACGCAGCATGTGTGTAGGACATAGACACATAGTGTCTCACACCCAAAAAGACAACAAAACAACGAAGCAACCATGATTGTTCATAGTCCCTTTTCTTTTGGCTTAATTACTACGTTATCTTTCCTTTTTGGCAAATAGTGGACTGCAGCAGAATATTACACAACCCAACCCAATCTTCTTCGTTCATGTAAGACGCACATGCATAGTTGATGGTATGCATGGTGCATGGCATTTGCGGTGTGCTGCATGTATAGTTTCGATATGTAACTAATTAGAAGCTTAGCGAATTTCCTAATAAAATAGTAATTTCAGTAAAAACAATATATAAGTCTCATGGTGGAGGAAAAAAACGTCTCATGGTGGATGGTTAATGATCATCACTCATAACTTTGATCATGTTTTAGAATTGTTATTGTTATACTAAGCTTGTAAAAGTAGAGAAATGATATAGATTTACAGTAAGAAAAAATGTAATAGATTATTTAATTTGTTTGCTAGATGAAATGTCCCTGTGTATTATATAGGTTAGGTGAGCCCATGTGCTTATCCTCATATGACAACCGTCCACATAAACCGGCGGTTTACCTCGACCACAACTTTATAATTCTAATACTTTATTAGATGTTTCCAGTATTTTCTTTTCGTCGTAACGAACATTCATAAATATGTCCACATATTATTTTATTATATAAAAGCCATTTGATTTTATTTTTATTTTTAAAAACACAATAAAAGCCATTTGATTAGAGAACACAAAACAGCTTGAAACTCTGGCCACAAAAAAATAATTTATCATCAAACTAATAATTAGTATTATCAGCAGCGACGATGATAACGTTAATTATGTCATGCAATTAAACTATATATTAATGTGTTGTCAAGCAATTAAAAAACTAATTACCATCCTGTTTTAGTATTTAATTTTTATCTCCATTTGTTAGCATTATCTTCCAGCTTTAGCTTTATCACTATAAAACCACCACTCTTTACTTCTCTGCAACACATTATTCTAGAGAGAGAGAGAACGAGAGAGTAAAAGACACGTCTGAGATGGAAGGCAAGGAAGAAGATGTTAGAGTCGGAGCCAACAAGTTTCCAGAGAGACAACCAATCGGAACATCAGCTCAGAGCGACAAGGACTACAAGGAGCCACCTCCTGCTCCCTTGTTCGAGCCAGGCGAGCTTGCTTCTTGGTCTTTCTGGAGAGCAGGAATCGCTGAGTTCATCGCCACGTTTCTGTTCCTTTACATCACTGTCTTGACCGTTATGGGAGTCAAGAGGTCACCGAACATGTGTGCTTCTGTCGGAATCCAAGGTATCGCTTGGGCTTTCGGTGGTATGATCTTTGCTCTCGTCTACTGCACCGCTGGTATCTCCGGTAAGTCACCACCATGCTCCAAACTATCTTAGGGTTTAGAAAAAACATGTAGCTAGGTCTGATGTGTAAGAAAAGAAACTAAGGAGATGTTTTAGATGTTGTAATAAACGGTTTGTGTTGTGTTGTGGCTTTTTCAGGTGGACACATCAACCCAGCTGTCACTTTTGGTCTGTTCTTGGCGAGGAAGCTTTCGTTGACACGAGCTGTGTACTACATAGTGATGCAGTGCTTAGGAGCTATCTGTGGAGCTGGTGTGGTTAAGGGATTCCAACCAAAGCAGTACCAAGCTCTTGGAGGTGGAGCCAACACTGTAGCTCCTGGGTACACCAAAGGAAGTGGTCTTGGAGCTGAGATTATTGGAACCTTTGTCCTTGTTTACACCGTTTTCTCTGCTACTGATGCCAAGAGAAATGCTCGTGACTCTCATGTTCCCGTAAGTTATAAATAAACGAGATTAGTGTTATGATGTTGTATTGGGATCAATATGCTTAATTGGTTTTTGAAATTGGACAGATTCTTGCACCTCTCCCTATCGGATTCGCTGTGTTCTTGGTCCACTTAGCAACCATCCCCATCACTGGAACTGGAATCAACCCAGCAAGAAGTCTTGGAGCTGCTATCATCTTCAACAAGGACAACGCCTGGGACGACCATGTGAGTTTCTAGTCTCTCACCAACTAAATTACAAAATCATTCGGTTTTTGGATCACTGGATTACTAAATCTTTGTGTTGTCTTCTTTTTTTAACCAGTGGGTCTTCTGGGTTGGACCATTCATCGGTGCTGCACTTGCTGCTCTTTACCACGTGATCGTCATCAGAGCCATCCCATTCAAGTCCAGAAACTGATTGAGCCACACTTTTTTAAAACTTGGCTTTTTGTTCTCTTAGTTTGGTTTTCCTTTTGTGAATGTACTACTACTACTACTTGTGTGAAACATCATCGTGTGTATGTGTTTGTCCCTCTTCTTTGCCTTATTCAGACTCTATTTGTTTAACAGAGTCAGAGACATTCCCCTGAAACAAATTGTGATCCCTCTTCTACAAATTCCAAACGATTTCTATAATTGGAACATTCTAGCTATAGACATTACCTCCTAACAAAGCCGACCAAACATACTCAGTGTTAGTGTATTAAGTTGTACACTAACAGGTGAATGATACAAATTAAATATGGCCAAATTCAAGAAAATGACTCATATTGGCTAAAGAAGCTATTCGATGTTTCTATGGTTATCAATAAGAGATAAGATTTGAGAGGAAAACAATGTCCCCATCGCGATTAGATTTCCAAACGATGTGACACATTCTTTAAACTTTGTGAAAAAGCATGATTTGAAAATTATTAATCAAATTGAGAGATGCTTACAAAAATAATGAAATCAAATTTTACTGTCTTTTGATAAAAGTTAATACGAAAGAAGATGAAACTTTTTAAAAAGTAAAAGAAACGAAAACAACGCGCTTTGCAAAATTACCTCTATTGAATAAATCCAGCCAATCAATAAACCACATCTGGCTCACTCCTGTGTAGGACCAAAAGAATCGCGTATCCAACACGCTCCCCATAAGCGAGTGCCACCACACTCCAATTCCACATTCAATTACAGACGTCATTACTTTCACCTACCACCTTTACCTACCTTCTCACGCCGTTACCAACTCCATCATCAACGCCGTTAGATTTACTCTCTCGCAGATCCGTCGCGATCGCCGTTAAATCCCGGTTACGAACGTTAACCAGAAGCCCATACTTCATGAACAAAGTCAACGACATCTTCTGCTCCACCTTATGCCCCGTCACCACCGTCAAACGGTGACGTAACAAAACCGCCGCCGCGATCGATTTCATCTGAAGATAAGCCAGATCTTTCCCTAGACAGATCCTAGGGCCAGCATTGAACGCCACGAACTTAAACGGATCGTGATTGATGAATCTCTCACCGCCGCCGTCCGATCTCGAGATCCATCTCTCCGGTTTAAACTCCAAACAATCATCCCCCCACGTCGATCTCATCCTCCCCGCCGAGTAGATCGAGTACGTCACCGACGATCCCGCCGGGACGAAAGTCCC